TGGAAGTCAACTCATTATGGTCATACTTAGTCAGCATTACTAACAGAAAATTTGACGGAGAGTTAACGTTTGGATAATTTTTAGGAATTCAATAGGTTTGGTTAAAATAAAAGAATCTGAAAAAGGTTTGGGTAAAAAATAGACATTGCCCAAGTTTAAAAGTAAAGAAGAATTAGAGTTTGGCATGGGTCGGTCAAACAGGCTGAATTTCAAGTTTTGGCCCGTTTTGATCAAGTCTAATTTATAATCGCATGGTTCCCTGATACCCGATAAAAATATCAATCCAACCCAGTTTGGCAGGTGAGTCCGTGTTTACCACCATTTTTTAGGGATACAGGAACAGTGGTTCCTATCCCAAATCGTGTTGTTCATTCTTGATTTCTTTAGATTTAATCATGGATTGGCAAAAAACAAGAAAGCACAATGATGACAAGATGAAAGTTCTATAAAGCAAATTAATCGGCCAACCGGCCCAGTAAAAGCTAGCAACGATTGTGAGATGCTCATTTCCCGAAAACCGGCAGGATAGGCGATTTTTTATTCGATTTTCTGGAATTCGGTTTCTATAAAACTTACTCCACCTCATCATATTACCAGAAACAATATTGTTACACAAGGTAACAGGTACTTGATTTTGGTTCATAAAGCTGATTTTTGATTCGTTGCATCATTCATGTCTCTTTTCTACTAAAATTCACTATTTTTATCACGTGTTTCCCAAAAGAAACTTTACAACAATAAACTATACCATATAAGTAAATTTTTTTACAAATGAAAGAATATTGATTTATGAAAACATATTGATGGTTATACTTAAGAGTTAAAGAAATAATATTTAGTAGTTTAATCAATAGTATATTATGTACCTAATGTCGTTGTTGAATAAAATCATTATACTCATTGTGTTACGCCTGTATAAGATTGGCAAAAAAATTGACAATAGTCTTAAACTAAACATCAAGAATGCTCAACTAAGACTTAGACCTGAGGTAAATAAATGTTAACAAAGAGATAACTTTTCTTTGTTGAGAAACTGGAACTTACAACCTCGGGCCAAAAAACAAGTGTGCCAACTGCAAGGCATATCATAAGACATGGTTAAGGTACGTAGTATATCAATTGTTGGGAATTCTTAGCTAAATTACAAAATTATTGTTTACACCAAAATATTTTTTATTAATTATTGCTTGTGTGAACAGCTTGGTCAATTTAAGTAGGTGGTCCATATGTACATGAATGGTCCAATTTATCAAGTCAAGCCATAGGCATAATGGATGGTAGTGTCCAAATACATGGATACCATCCAAAATCCATAATGGATGGTAGTGTCCAATTACATGGATACTGTGCAAACCCTAATGGATGATGCTAGGGTATGGTGACCATTTAATATACGTACCATCCATAGATTGTTGTCTTAATCAACATGGACACCGTCCAATTTGTTTTGTGTACGGTGACCGTCCAATGGTCAAGTGACATGATGACGTGTCAAGGTGGTTACCAGAAGCAGCACTTGACTTGCAAAGAACACTCGGGGAAGTTACTGGATGCTACGTGGAGCTGATCTTCGGGAAGAGAGAGAAGGCGGTTAGAGGAGGAGGCACAACAAAACTGGCAGCAAGGTTCTGGAGGAAAAACAGACAAATCAAACCACAACAAGTCTCGTCAAAATTTATCTTTTCTCTATAGAACAGTAACCGTAGCAGTAGCACCAGGGACCCTCCAACGAGGCTTCTCTGTTTAGTTGTAGTCAGTAGTTGCGGAGCTCTCAAGGAATCTCCACGGGAGTAGAGGTAAAAGTAGCCAATTCCTTTGATGTATGCATCGAACATCCTCGTTCGAACAGTGTTTAAAAAGATGTTAACCGAGTAACATCGTTTTCTGTTTTCTTGAAGTCAGGGTGCATTGATCACGCGAAATTCCACCTGAAACAATTGTAGTATGAGAATTCTATTTTATTGATAGAGTATTTCAAGTAAAATCGTGAATGTCATGTAATGATTAAATACTTTATCTAACTCTTATATGAATTTTCAATTGATAACCATGAGCTAAGAATCTTTCATTGCTACCTATAACTCATATAGAATGAAAGAAACATGAACCTAGGTTGGGAACTTTCAATAAAAGGTCTAAACTAAAAGTTTACAATAATCCATCAACCTCTTTTGGGCCATAACTTATGCATTAGTGATTGTTAAAATAATGAATTTGGACATCCCAGTTTTGGTAAAGACCATTTTACTATGACAATGTTTGAAGAATTAGAATCTAAATTTCTAGATTCCAAATAATTCAAACATTATTACTCTCATATTGTTAAAAATATATATTAAATGTTCATTGTTTGCTAAATATGATTGGTAACATTTGAAAAAAATAGAAATTTTAGTTTTTATCAGATGACGAGTTTACCTATAACTAAAAGAGTAGAGTGGCTCAAGAAATACCGAGAAATTATTTGTGAGGCTATTTAGTAGAATTAATTAAATAGAAGAGATAAAGTATGAGGAAAAAATCATATCTCTCTAATTATGAGAGATTTGATATCTCTATATTTAATAATTTTGTAATCTCTCAAATTAAAATTCACAATAGAAAAAGAATCTTTGTCGAATCTATGGATTCAATGAATCCATCATCCAATTTTTTCCCAAACGAGTTATAATTCGTCTCTCCTGTGTTGTCCTCTATCTTATTTCTTTTTCCTATAACTCATAACATTTTAAATTTTTTACTATTTTTTTCGCAGATCTTCTTCATCTTTGTGGAGTTAATAAAATTATTACTATGTATTTTAGAAGTTCTCAAAAATTTCCCCAATAGTACTTCTCAATTTCATGAATTAGTGTGTATTAATTTGCAGGAAACATGTTTATGAAGGATATAGAGTGGTTTTGGAATTAGTGTCATTAATTTCATGAATTAGTGCTCATGCTTAGAGAAATGGAACTTTGAGGTTGTCTACATATTCCAGCCCAGTATAGTTCGGCCAACGGGCTATATATTTCATAAAATAGGAAGACATTCAGTGAAATGGTCAAATTACAATTCAAAAGATTTAATGAAGTAATTCAATAGATCATATCCAAAATTGAATTAAAGTAGAGGAAGGCATTCGATGAAATTGTTCAAGGTATGGAGGAAGAAAATGGGAATGACTACTTTGTTGATCGATTTGGGGATACATGGAAGACGTTTCTTTGTAAGGTTGTTTGTTTCAAACTACGGACATAAAAGAAAATAGTTTTGCGCATTGCTTCTTCAGCTAGCTTTGCTAATCGTTGGAGGCAGAAATGTTAATTCTCTATTCCAATGGATTGTGAGTCAAAATCAACATGTCATATGAACAAGAAAGCGATTTAGCAAAGTTGATTAGTGATGTGTCTCTTATTATTTGTAATGAACCTCTTATGACTCATAAGCATAATATTGAAGCAGTGGATTGAACTCAAAGACATTTTGCATGTGAATTATCCAAACAGTGGAGATATGAAGTTTGAGGAATGTATGTTGTGTTCGGTGAAGATTTTTGACAAACCTTACTAGTAATGACTAAGCGAATCGAGCAGATATTGTAAATTCTTTTACCAAGAGACAAGAGGTCATATTTATGTGGTCTTCATTGATAGATTTGAAGCTCTCTCAAAATATGAGATTGGGACGGAAAAAGTTTGGTCCTGAAGAACCTATTCAGATTGAATAATTCATCAAATAAATTTTGCATAGAGGTGACAGAGTGGCCTGACCGAAACAAGGGTAGCAAACAAGTTTACAACATTGGTGCGATCAGGTTTGCTATAATAACCCAGTAAACAATAATTACGAGCACTTTGTGCCACCCGATTAGCAAGGCCATTAAAATGTCTTGGAGTGAACTCCACTATGATCCAGGGTGCAGACTAGAGAATCTCGATGACCCGGGACAACGTTTCCTTGCACTGCCATGGCTAGAGATCTGAAGGCTTCTTCAAAGTTAGTGTTATGATCTCACAATCTGACTTAACACACATGGGACAGATCTCTTAGACCGCCAGCATTACTGCGTTGAGGAGAGCAAATGCTTCCGCTTGGTGGAGTCAATGGTCTCAATTCCAAGATCATTGAGCATTCCACGTGAAGGAGATGACATTGTTGATATTGTAGTTACTAAGGGAACGCGAGCATGTATTGTAAATTTTTCTATCAAAAGGTGGAATTTATTTGGCTTTCATTGGAAATTTTGAAGTTCTCTCAAAATACGGGATTGTGAACAAAGGACCTCAGGCCTGAAGAAGCTATCCAGAATAAAGAATTCATCAAATAAATTTTGCATAGAAGGTGATGGAGTGGCTTAAAATAGTTTTTGGGAGTCAATGATCTCTTCCAACTTCATTGAGCATTCCACGTGGAAGAGATAGAAATGTTGATATTGTGAATCATATGTATGGTCATCTCCTTGAATTACGGTCAAGGAAATTATTGGGTTCATCTTGCTATATTAACTCCGCATCATGAAATGCTATCGACAATAAATAATTAGGTGATGGAACAATTTATAGGACATGAAATTTGTTATCATAGTTCATATTTAATTTAATTTTTTTAGTATTCGAATCACTTTGATTTTCTTATACTACCAAACAAACACGTATCTTGCATATTAATATTGCTATTTTCATATACTCAATTCTCGAAATGAATCCGGCCAACTGGTCGGGTCAGTAACTAGTTGTATGTAAAAAAGAAAACAGGTTTAGAACGTTCCACCATATAGCTACCATGTTCTTTTCCTTCGTGTGAAAAAAACATGTTATATTCCTGGTATGTAATTTCGGGCCTTTTGGCCGTTACTCCTTATGGGCTCCAGTCCTTTCAGTTTGAGCCCATAAAAACTTGAGAGAAATCTGGGCCCATAACGTTCTTATCGGTGAAGTTATTGATCGGCTTTGGAAGAGGAGTACTTGGCCTGTGTCCGATTTCGCCCGGCTTTATTTTCCTCCCTTTCCTTGTCCTTTCTTCGTTCCGACCAAATCACTTAACAGATCAACGAACCCTAATCCAATTGGAAAAAGTCCCCGACTAACTCTATAGAAATCACCAAAAGTGGAACTTTCTCTTCCGATCAGCTCGAAATTACCCTCCGGCGCTATTTCAACGTTGATCTCCATTCATTCTTCTGCGGACGAAACCTCGAGGCGGTGGGTAAACTGGAACGAGCGCAATTTAGCTGGAGGTATTGATCGGTGTCGCTGATTTGAAATTTGTAGTCGGAAATTTACCAGTTGACGCAGGCTCGCCTGATAGAGTCGTAGTAACTAGAACGTTGGGGGTTTTTTTTCCTCCTGTTTATTGTGTAGGAGAATGATTGGATGAGTTGTTCAGATTGTTGTTTAGCTTTCACACCAGTTGTTTCATCTTCCTTTTTTCTCTCGATGTTAAAATGTTGGGTCTGTGTATATCGTCTAACGCAATCAACTTATGTTGATTAACTCGTACGCATTGGAAATTTGTATTATGCATTTCGTTGATGGGTTGCAAGGGTTGGCCTAGTCTTAGACTCGTTGTAATAGTGGATGAAAATGCTTTCTATTGAATGAGTTGTTTTATGAACTCTGCAACTGAATATTTTTTTGGGTTGTGAAGGACGTAAATTATGGATGGCAATAATTGGAGGCCTGCTGCTCCTGGGGCGGAAGCTCCTGTGGATGGAGGTGACTGGAGAGCTACATTGCAGGTGGAGTCACGGCAAAGAATCGTGAACAAGATGTGAGTGTAATGGTTTTGTGCTGCTGAGTAATTATGTTTGGTCTAAGCTTGGCTTTGTGCATTTCATGTGTTTGTTTTTTTTTTATTGTTTTCTGAGACAAGAGGATAAACTAAAATGCCCAATGAGGGAAACTTTGGATGTAGTTTATTCGAGCTGCTCTATTAATGAAAGGGGTAAAAATGAACTGTGTTACCTTCATATAGTTTGTGGGGATTTGGTCGCATTGTGCGGATGGGAGGGATGTCCTTGGAAATGTGAATTTGAATAAGGAAATGGATGAACCTGGATGTGAGAGGTTTCTGGTAACAGCTTATGATTTTCTTGAGGAAAATATACACTGAAGAACTTTTGGTAGGGGTTTACCTCTTGATTAGTTGCTTCTTTTGTAGCTATGTACTTTTGTTTTCGGTGGTCACTGATTGTGAATGTGGCTAACTTATGGAACAGAATGGAGACATTGAAGAGGCATCTACCTTTTTCTGGTCAAGAGGGGATGCAAGAACTGAAGCAAATAGCTGTACGATTTGAGGAAAAGATTTATACTGCTGCAACTAGTCAGGTACCCCTCTAAAGACTAGTGATGCTTGTAACACAATTTTACAAAGTCGCCTGCTTGTGGAAGAATAAGCTTTGCCTACAACTATACCTCAAGGATCGATGATGCTCTAATTTTATGTTTTTTCTTTTCTTGTTTATGTAGTCTGATTATTTGCGAAAGATATCTTTGAAGATGCTCACCATGGAGAACAAATCACAGAATTCTATACCCAATTCTTTGCCGCCAAACTCAGCTGGCACTGGCAATAAGCCCCCTGATCCAGGAGGTAATACAGAGTTAAGTGCTTTACTTCTTGTCTGAGATCTTTGACTTGCATGGTTTTTACTTCTAGTGCTTAGTTGTTGTATTATGGCAGGAAGAATGATATCTCCAACTTCTTCTTATCTATATCAAATCCATGTCTTAGAGGGAAATTATATCAAGAAAGATGTTTCTGCAAGTACTTTCTGGTTTAGGCTAATTACTGTAGTTGCTGCTCTTTTGTTGTTGTTTCTCTTATTTTTATCTTGTTTATTTGTGTCTTGACAGCATCCCCTAGTTTGCTGCCCCAAGTGCACAACCAAGGGCAATCACTTCCCATTCCGTTGCCAGGTAATCAAGCTCAAGGACGCCAACAGCTGTTACCTCAGAACATGCAGAACAGTATGACTTCTACTGGAGTTCAAAGTTCTGCTGTTTTACCATCCTCATTGCCTCCTGTTTCTGGTATAAACCAGGCTCCAATCAATGTTGTTGGCCAGAATGGTAGCATGCAGAACATGTCTAACGTTGCACAAAACCCAGTTGGTACTTCAATGGGGCAGGGGGTTTCCTCGAACATGTTTGGTAATCCTCAAAGACAGATGCCTGGGAGGCAACAAGTTATGGGCCAGCAGCAACCACAGCAGTCACAGAATTCTCAGCAGTATCTTTATCAGCAGCCCTTCCAACATCAGATGCTTAAGAGAAATCAAGCACATTCGCTGGTACAATCACAACATCCGCAACAACTGCCTCAGCAAAATGTTATGCAGCCGACTCAGCAATCTGGCATGCAAACTTCATCAGTTATGCAGCCTTCAGTCATGCAATCGGCTCCTATGTCTAATCTTCCACACAATCAGCTATCTACCGTCCAACAGTCAGGACAATCTATCCTTCAACAGCACCAACAATCTGGCATCAGGCAGCAACAATTGCAACAACAGGGTGTTGGTATTCATCAACAGCAGCCGCAAATGATGCAGCAGCAGTTGCTATCCACAGCACAGCAGCCGCAGCTATTGCCTACCCAGCAGCAGCAGCAACTACAACAGCAGCAGCAGCAGCCAATGCAATCTCAGCAACAGATGGTGGGACAACAGTCCAATGCTGTAACCATGCAGCAGAATCAGTTTGTCGGGCAACAAAATAATATTGGGGACATGCAGCAGCAGCAGCAGCAGAGATTGCTCAGCCAACAGACTAACCATCAAAGTCAGCAGCACTCTCAGCAGCAGCAGTTGATGACTCAGCAGAATAACCTTTCTGGTATGCACCAGCAACAGTTGGGTACTCAGAGTAATTTCTCTGGTCTACAGCAGTCAACACAGCAGCAACAGCTGCTTGGAGCTCAGTCGGGTAACTCAAGTATGCAGAACAATCAGCATGCTGTAAATATGCTACAGCAGCAGCCTAAGGTTGCTCTACCGCAACAAACACAACAAACTTCTAATGTATTACCAACACAAGGCCAGCAGACACAATCACTGGCACCACAGCAGCAGCAGCAGCTTGGTCTGCAACCACAGCAAGGGCAGTTGCAGCAGCAGCAGCAGCAGCAGCTTGGTCTGCAACAACAGTCTAATCCTCTGCAAAGGGAAATCCAGCAAAGGATGCAAGCCTCTGGGCAGGCAACAGGCTCTTTGGTGCAACCACAAAATGTGATTGATCAGCAGAAGCAGTTATTTCAATCACAAAGAGTACTTCCGGAGACATCAGCAAGTATGTTTCTGAGTCTTTCTTCTAGGTGTTAATGTGATCTCATTTGTCACAAAAAGCTGTGTGACTGGACCAACCTAACCTAATATATCCCTGAGAGATGTGCCAGGTAAGTTTCTCCTTACTAATTTTTGTTTCGTTGTAGCATCTCTAGATTCTACGGCGCAAACTGCTCAGGCAAATGGAGTTGATTGGCAAGAGGAAGTCTATCAGAAGGTTGTTCATGTTGTTGTATGGGTTAAGTTTTTTCGTCCATTTGTTTTTTCTTTTGCATTCAATTGCTGACCACTTTTTACTGGTTTTTCCTTTGTAGATCAAAACCATGAAGGAGATGTACTTACCTGAGTTAAATGAAATGTACCAGAAAATTGCAGCAAAGCTGCAGCAGGTAGCTTGTGACGTTTTATATCTGTTTACCAATATTGGGTCTATTGGTCACTGTTTGATTAACAGTATCACAGTCTCAGTTGCATCATCTGTCCTTTAGCATCTGTAGAGCCTAAGGGACGAGAGATGATTTCATTAGGCATTGTGCTCTTTGGTTCGGTGTATTTTATGTTGCTATTACCTTTGATGAGAGTTCCTGCATTTAATTTAGATTTCTTTGCTGCTTTTTCTCATAATTTCTGCATTTATTAGTGTTGCACTGTCTTTCACCATGTGTTGTACCATAAAACTAACGAATCCAGCTTATTTGTGCCTTATGTCCACTTCTGAGGCAATTCTCTGAGGCTGATAAATTGTTCTTTTCTCTCCAGCATGATTCTCTTCCACAGCAACCCAAGACAGACCAGCTTGAAAAGTTAAAGATGTTTAAGACCATGCTGGAGCGCATGATATCTTTCTTACAAGTATCAAAAAACAACGTCCAGATCAGTTTCAAGGAGAAGCTTAGTTCCTACGAGAGACAGATAATAACTTTTCTGAACACGAATAGGCCCAGGAAGCCTATGCCTCCAATGCAGCAAGGGCAACTTCCATCTTCTCACATGCAATCGTTACAACAACCTTCGTCCCAAATCACCCAAGCACAGTCCCATGAAAATCAAATGAACCCCATGACCTTGCAAGGTTCTGTATCAGCAATGCAGCAGACCAATAATATGTCAAGCATGCAGCATAGTTTATCTGGTGTTTCTTCGCCGCAGCAAAACATGATGAACTCAATGCAGGCAGGTTCTAATCTCGATTCTGGACAGGGAAATGCTATGGCCTCACCTCAGCAGGGTGCTATGGGGTCTCTACAACAAAACCCTAGTTCTTCCCAGCAGGCAAGTCTCAGCTCCATGTCTTCACAAAGTGGATTAACTATGTTGCAGCCAAGCCTTCCTCTTCAGTCAAATTCCAACAATATGCTTCAACACCAGCATCTGAAGCAGCAGCAGCCGCATGATCAACAGATATTACAGTCCCAGCAGTTTAAACAACATCAACAGCGTCAGATGCAGCAACAATTATTGCAGAAGCAGCATATGCTTCAACAGCAGCAGCAGCATCAACAACAGCTGCAACAACAACACCATCAGCAACAACAGCAGCAGCAGCAGCAACTGAATCAGCAAGTAAAGCAGCAGCAACAAATGCCACAGCTGCATCAGATCAATGATGTAACTGATGCGAAAATTAGACAAGGTTTGGGAGTTAAAGCAGGTGTCTTTCAGCAACATCTCTCGTCCAGTCAGCGTGGTGGTTACCCTCAGCAGATGAAGTCTGGCGCCTCTTTTCCTATCTCTTCGCCTCAACTGCTTCAAACTCCTTCACCACAGTTGGCACAACATTCTTCTCCACAAGTTGACCAGCAGAACCTATTGTCATCGCTTCCAGGAACTGGAACCCCTCTACAGTCTGCAAATTCACCTTTTGTTGTTCCATCACCTTCTACTCCTTTGGCTCCATCTCCTATGCCTGGAGATGCCGAGAAACCAGGAATTTCTTCCCTTTCTAATGCTGGTAATGTTGGCCACCAACACCCATCATCTCTTGCGATTGGCACGCCTGGGATCTCTGCTTCACCGTTGCTTGCGGAGTTCTCGGTTCCCGATGTGGCTCATGGCAATGCTTTGACAACTGTCTCAGGAAAGCCAATTGTTTCAGAGCAGCCACTTGACCGATTAATTAAAGCGGTTAGTCTTCTCTTCAATTTGTATCCTCCTTTCTTCCATCTTCAACCAATTTGCAAAAATTAAGGGTTTGTGTGGTTTGATGATTGGTGCAACTGGTAGATTTTTCAAATAGACAGATTGCTGAATGGATTAATTTTAGAGTAGATAGATTGGAAGAATGTTTTTAGCTATGCATTATTGTGTTATTTTACTAATTCCACGTAAAACACTAAATTGCCCTTTTAGATCTCTTTATAGAGCTCGACTAAACCTATGAATTTTCCAAAAGAGAGAGGCGCAGAACAATAGTACTTACAAGCAGATTCTGGAGTGTGAACACCACTAGCCATGTCTTCTCATTCTCCCTTGTCTGTATCCTGAAATCCATGGTCCCAAGAACTCACCCCCTTTTTTATGGTAGATTTTATGTGAATGCACCACAATCATCAATCCGAGCAACCTCTTTAGTGTCTGGTATGCTTTTAGCTGACTTATTCCTTGTGAGTGGGAGTACCAATATACATATTGTTTCAGGTGAAGTCTATTTCTCCCACGGCATTGAATGCCGCTGTGAGCGACATTGGCTCGGTCGTCAGTATGATTGATAGAATTGCGGGATCGGCCCCAGGTAATGGATCTAGAGCAGCAGTAGGCGAGGATTTAGTGGCAATGACTAAATGCCGTCTTCAAGCGAGAAATTTCATCACTCAAGATGGAATTAGCGGGACGAGGAAAATGAGGAGATACACGAGTGCCATGCCTTTGAATGTCGTATCGTCTGCTGGCGGTGCAAGCGACAGCAAGCAGTTGAGCGGACCAGAGACATCTGATCTCGAGTCGACTGCAACATCTGGTGTCAAGAGGCCTAGGTTGGAGGTAATCTTTCGATATCAGCTCAGGTTGTTTATGGCCACAACTCACAGAACTTGTTTTGCCATTAACTACTCTCAACTGTTGTATTTCTTCATTCTTTCCAATGTCAACTTCATTAACAAAAGGTTCTGTTTGATCTCCTAGATTCTTACTATTCCATCCTAATTGTAAAAAAGTATGCCACTAAATCTGATTCTCCACTTCCTGTATGATTATGAAATGAAAGAAAAAGACTGAGAACCTGATGCATGTAGGAAGAAGAGTAACTTTTGCCCCTCAATTTTTTTTTTTAAGTGTGATGTCAATGGTCAGAGTCGTTTCTAACATTACCTTGTATAGTCGAAGTCTTCATCTGGGTATTTCATTGACTGTCAACTGTTGGAATTTCATTAATTTCCCCCCTAACGTCTAACCTCATTAACACAACAAGGTTCTGTTTCCCTAGATTTTTAATATTCCATCCTGATTTCCTTGACCTTTGCAAAAGTTTGCCATTTCTGCTAAATACACTCCATCTTGTGGTCGTGAGTGGGGTGCACAAACATAACAGAAACCTTAATGCATAGAGGAAGAAGAACCTTATCATTCGATTACCGTTTAGAGTGAGATCTGAATGGTTAGATGCGCAGAGTCTGACCTAAAGTGCCCCATATTCTTCCTCCTGATAATTACGTAGTTATTAAGCCCGTCATAAGAACATTTATCCATGAAGTGTGATTTTTTCTCGGCTAGATTATTGATTACTTATTCTGTTGTATGCATCTGAATTCTCTCTCTTGCTTTTCCCCTAAATCATCAAACCTACATGTATGTATACTCCATGTTGTATTAGTGTAATTAGATGCTTACTTATTTCTGGTGGTGAGAAAGAAGATGAGGCAGCGGGCTTCAAGCATACTATATGCTGATTGGTTATAATGGCCCCCCTGCAGGCAAACCATGCGCTCTTGGAAGAGATAAGGGACATAAATCAGGGACTTATTGACACCGTGGTTGATATCAGCGATGAAGATGTCAAACCAACTGCAGTAACTGCTGCTGCTGCTGAAGGCGGCGGGGAAGGAACTTTAGTAAAGTGCTCATATAGTGCAGTAGCCCTTAGCCCCAGCTTGAAATCGCAGTACGACTCAGCTCAAATGGTCAGTGTTTCACAACCTTTGTTGACATCAAGCCTTTCTCATTCTTCAGTGATAACATTGCCCTGCTCATTTTCCCTCCTTTTTGCAGTCGCCAATTCAGCCACTGAGATTGCTCGTGCCTATGCACTATCCAAATTGTTCCCCGATTCTACTGGACAAGTTCCCTGTTGAAGTCAGGTAATGAATGACAGGTTGGTAGATTTGTTGCCTTCTGACATGCCAGACGCCAGCCTTTTCGAGCACGTTTGTTTATATTATCACTTGTGCCATTGATGTTCAGCAAGGAGTACGAGGATCTATCGGCGAAGGCCAAGTCGAGGTTCAGCATATCTCTTCGTGGCCTCTCGCAACCCATGTCTCTCGGGGAGATTGCGAGGACTTGGGATGTATGTACCAGGGCAGTGATATCGGAGCATGCCCAGCAGAGCGGCGGAGGTAGCTTCAGTTCCAAGTATGGCACCTGGGAGAACTGCTTGAGCGCTGCGTGATTCTTGGGAGAACGAAAAACAAAGTGTAAATAATATGCTCGCATGAAGGACGGGGCTCTCGCTGTGTGCACAAAATGATTTGATCGAAACTTTGTAGCAATGATCGAGTAGAAGAATTGCATTATTTGGCCTATTAAGTTATCCTCATTTGTAGCTATAAAAGAATGTAGAAACAATTCTACATATGTATATCGTAATTCCCTAATTTATCAGTCGGTTTCTTTAGGCCGAGGTTTTATCTGTACCCACTAAAAAGTCATTCCTGTTGCTACCACCATGAGTCCATGAGCCCCTTGCACTCAGTGGCGGATACATGGTGTGCTTTAGGGTGTCTCGGGACACCCCTAAAATTTGGAAAAACGATTATCCAACCTCCGGTAGTAGTTTCGGGACACCCCTACAAATTGAAAAAACGATTATCTTACCATCGATAGTAGTTTGCGTATGATTTAAAAAACATAAGTGGTAGTCTGTGTTATTTAAACCTAGGACACTACTATTATTAAACATATTTTCCACTAGATTATAACTTATAACTCATGAGTTATTCTATTCTAAACACTATGTAATAGTAAAAACATGATTCCTTATCCCTAGGGGTAACCCTAATTTGAATTGACTTTATGGTTACACAGAGTGTTGAAAGAGTTTTTTCAACTTTGAGTTATATCATAAACAAGGTTAGAAATTGAATATGCGATCAGTTTGTGAAATATTGTATAGTAGGATATACAAATTTGTTGAGCAGTGTAGACATCGAATCTATTTTATATATTTTTCAAAATATGAAAACACATGGTGGATTTTTGTTAAAATTTGTACTAATCAGATATTTTCTGATTTATGAATTGTTTAATTTAATTTAATTTTTGGAAGAGGACACCTCTACAAAAAATTTATGTATCCGCCACTGCTTGCACTCTAATGGTTGTCAATGTAGACACACTCTTTGTGGGTGGGGCGAACCCCGCCTTGGAGCTTCATAAAGACTGAAACCACACGAGGATCACAATAGATTCCCTAAGACTTCTTCGAAACACCGAACCCAAGAGGTGACAGACGGAAAGAGAGACAGAAAATTATAATTTTTTTAATGGGTAAATGACACATTTGGTCACTGAGATTACTAAATCGTGCCATATTTGGTCACTAGAAAAATTTAATATCAATTTTGGTCACTCGAATTACTGACACAGGTCACATTTGGTCACTCTTTTGTAGCCTCTGTCCAACTCCGGTCACTCGAATTATTGAAAAATGTCACATTTAGTCACTCGGATTACTGAAACATGTCACATTTAGTCACTCTCCCAACAGTTTCCGTCGAACTACATTAATGGAGTTGGACGGAAACTGACGGGAGAGTGACTAAATTTGACCAGTTTCGGTAATTCGAGTGACCAAAATTGATATTAATTTTTTCTAGTGACTATACATGACACAATTTAGTAATCTCAGTGACCAAATGTGTCATTTACCCTTTTTTTAATTCAATATCTTACATTAAGTACATTTCTCTCACCTTATCTCTTACTTTTGTTTTTTAGCCGGCTCTTTGCCTTCCCTCGTCCAACTTCCATCGACCGCCTTCCTCCAGACGCCTTCCTCTGACAACATATTATAACTACACCGATAACATGGGTCTAGATCTGGTGAGTAATTTTGTGCCGAGTAACCCTGCATAACCCTACCATCAACCATCACATCAGCGCCCCCTACCACATATGAAAGGCTTTTAACCTTTTCTCTTTTAATTTTTAACGGATGATTTCTCTCTCGTTTTAAGTTGAAATTAAATTTTTTTTTGCACATAACGAGAGGTATGATTTTTTTTTCTTTCTAAAAACATATTAAAAAATGAAACTCATTTTGTAAAGCACAACGAAATCGTTTCATCTTTGCAAAAAACTGAAATTCAAGTTAGAACGAAGAAGATAAGAGCCGATTAAAAAAACTAAAAAAAAATAATAAAAAAGTATTTAATTCTCAACTCTTAGATCTGAGGCTCAATTAAAATGAAAGGCTTAGATCTTTTTATAAAAATTGTGCACCATTTGGATTACGTACCATATCCACAACCACTCATAAACAATATCATTACACCCACATCAGTATCAATATAAAATATACATTACCAATAAACCGGTAATGTTATCACTACATTGATTGGAACAAATTACCATTACATTACCACTACATTAGAGCATATTACCACTGCAATGCCACTACACTAATAATAAACCTAACCACTGATAGACAATACGACGTCCGATTTGATAAAAACTTGTTCGACAATCGATTTGTTTTATAATTGAGCCGATTCGTGAACAAGGCATGCAATGGTTAGCTCGATAGGCTCGTGCACAAGTTTGTAATAATTTACGTGTTTGTTGTTGCCAGGTTCGAACTTGAATTTGAGTTATAATCGACATTTTATCAATTGAATGCAATTTTTGTTCATTAATCATTTGACGATACGAGTTCAAGTCGAGCTCGAACTTCTATTTTTGTAAGCGAGGCAAACTCGACCTTGTCCTTGCCTATTAAATCTTGTGAGGAACTCGAGCCGAATTGGAACCAAGCCGAGGTTCATTAACAGCACTAGTTCAAATTTTGGGCTGATAGCCTGCTGGCCTTTCCCGCACAAAAATTCCGACCGCTTCTTCCTTCTCCTGAATGTTCCATTCAGATATTTCGTAGCGACTAGCGACTCGTTGCTACTCGAAATTCATCCAAATTAATCACAGCCATGGCTTCTGGTCCTCGGACTACTGAGCGTCTCTGCGACTCCGAAACCGACGAGCAGAACTTCGCCCAACGGAAGAAGCGGTTGCGCAGCGTCAGCTTCGCCGAGGTCGAGATCACTTCCGTCTACGTCTTTGAACGCGACGAGAGCAACGAGAATCCACCGGCCGACGGTGCCTCAACGAAGAACCAGACTCCCGAGCCTGAGAACGAGGTGCTAGGGTTTTTCAAGGAGCTTGCGGATGGCAACGACGATTTGGAAGAGTCTTCATTCTATGGAGGCGAAGCCGAAGAAGAAGACGTTGTGGATCCCAGTGCTCGCAAGTCGTTTTGGCAGCCGATGGAGTTCCCCGGGAGAACTATTTTCGGTTCCGCCACTTCAAATGACGGTTCGTGTTGCTTTTCTGCTTCTGGTTGCAGTTAGCTTTCGTTTTTCCACTATTCCAGTTTGCTTGCTTGTGAATTTGCTGTAGTATTCTCTCCAGGAGATCTGGCCGAGCGTTCTGTAATGACTAGTGCTTGAAATGTTTCCTGTCCCGTTTCAATTTCGGCAGTGGATAATTTTTTCGGTCCTGTGTCGACCGATTTCATTAGACCTAGACGCTTGCCCGACACTGGTGATTCGAATGATAATAATCATGAAATCATGATGGACTCAACGGGGATCTTAGGACTCCTACCAAAGTTGGATTTGGCTTTGGAAAGAAAACCCCTTCCAGCTTAGGCACCCCTTCCAATTCAGGGAGTCTCAAGAAATTTACAAAGGCCAAGAAGCTGCCACCGTTTCCAGATCCTGCATAAATCTGGTGGAGGTAGTGACACAAACGCCATGAGTCTTTTCGGTGAAGATGCTCCTCATTATGACTATGGGAGGCTGTCTCCAGATTTGGAGGCTATTTTACGGCAAGGAAGCAAAGAGATGCAGTGTGGATCTGTCACTGGTTATACCAGTCCAAATTTCTAATGAGGCTCAATTGCAGCTTGAGAATGGAAAGATAGAGTTCCATCAAAATGGTTGCGTGGATAAAGTGCTCGACAGAGTTGGTGCCCATGATGTTTCAACTGAGAGAGTAACCCTGGGAGGCGGTGCTTCTGCAGCCAGTCATGGTGACCAGAATTAGGGTTTCCACTCACCGAGTAGAAATGAGCAATTGCCAGCTGATATCTCTATTCGTTTACCAATTAGTCTCAATCATTAGGCTGAAATAAACACTCCGGATCAGCTAAACAGGTGAGACCTATGGTCTATGGACATTTAAGGTGACTGGATTTCCCCAGTATTTGTTGTTTCTGTTTAGCCTGCTTGGCATATATTTGGAGAAGATTGCTTATGTGGGCTAGGCTGACAGAGCGAAGCATTTTAAAATTGAAGATGTAATGTAACATCTGTATGTTGAGGATTGGTGGGTATGTTTGGAGAAGATTGCTTATGTTTGCTAGGCCGACAGAGACTGAATCATCAAGAGTCATAATCTGGGTTAATGTTTCTTGTCCCACTTTCTATCTAATCTGCAGATTTCACTGGACCTTTCTGCACTTATGAAAAACGTGCTTTCTCTTTCGGTTGATGCTCTAAATATTAAATCAGTATTTGTTATCCCAACATCAAATTTCTTTCTTTTACTGGACTTTGGAAGTATGCTAGGTTGTGTCTTTTGGACTAGAATGTACCTTACATTCTAGTTACGCCACATTCTGTATTAAATTGTTTTGCTTCAATGACAAAATGCAGACTCACCATAACTGCTGCTCGCACTCCTAGCTTATTGGTATCAACCAAGTTGAATGAGGCAAATATAATTAAGGTAACATGCTTGAGGGTTGATTTTATGTCGGATAGGTTTCCCGTTTTCTTTGCTCTGATGATTCTTGATTTGTTGCCCTCCCTGTTACCAGAAATTCCCCAACATGGATGCTTGTGCTGCATTTGCTTATGTTCTAAATGCTGAGGCCACTAAGAAATATTTTGGCTCCAGAAGTTTGGCGCAGGAAACCAGAGTATGTTTTGTTAGTGTTCTTCTCTACCATATTTCATTGCATGTCCGGCTAAAATGCATCATAGGCTACCTGGTTTAGTTAAATTATCATAGTTTTTGGTCTTGATTTGCAAGCTCTAAAATCTCGTCTTGTGAGATTTAGTGTACTCAAATCCCATTGTTTAACTTCTGTTTAGTTGTAAAGTTTAGAGATGGTTTCATTTACAGATGGCCCGTTCACTTTTGCATAATCTTCTGGACGTTGTTCAAAAATTGCAAAAGGCAAGGATAGAGTCCATAAATTTTGTTGATGCAACCTTTATTTCTGCTTCTGGTAATAGTCCTCTCTTCTACTCATCTTTCTAGCTCTCTACTGCCATGTCTCAATCTGCTTTGCTAATTGGTACGTGATTCTGAAAATGCTTCTGTAGTTCTGTTAATGACTTCCATGTACTTTGAACTACTAATATTTTAAGATTGGTGTCATTGATGAACACAAAAGATGGCATATCATATACCTTCAGGGAATATGAGGCAGCCTCGCATTTTTGAAGTTTTATCTTTAGGTTGAAGTCTCTGGACGATTAGTGTACTAACATGCAACTGCTCTTACGGATATAATTCCTGCTTCATTTTGTATCAAAGGACCACCTAAAAGTACATCCTTGATATTAGGGAAAAGCTTCCAGATAAGTCTGATTCCTATTTTTTATTTATTGAAAAGACGATTCATTCCAATTGCAACATCCTTGCATGGGTGACTGAAACTGTCTCAAATGCCCATAGTCAATCAAAATTGGCACGCTAAGAATTAAGCTGGTCGAAATTGTAGGCATTAGAAAGCTTGAAATTTGTTGATTTCTTGAATTCTGGAGCTCCATAACTAACGATCTGTGAATCCATTTTTTGTAGTTGAGCGACTGGATCTACAGCTTTCTTTTGTTAATGTCAACAGCTATACAAAGATGAATGTGATGCTTGACATGACTTGGTTGAAACAGTAAGTTACAGTCTCGCTGTGTTTTAAATAGTTACCATGCTCGATGCTATTTATATATTGGTGTGATTTCAATTACATCTTTCCTTGTCTACTGGCTGCTGATGGTGATGCTTAAGTTGGTCCAACAAAAGGTTGCTATATTTTTTCTTTTAACCAAAATTGGAGCCTTGTGCTAATGGCCTTTGTCAATGACCATAGCGTCCGGTCTTAGCCTTTGTTTGTGTATTATTTAGATAATGCTAGAACAGAGCAGAACAAAGTACAGTATGTTTTGCTTTTGATTAAATTGAAGATTTTTTTTGTTTTAATTCTATCGGATCCGTTAAATAATAAAGAAAATCAATCAAAGCTGTACGGACGGTGTGCTAGACCAAATAGAATCATACACAACTTTTGATCCAAGAATGGTTCTAATGTTTCCTTTATTTTTTATCGGTCTTTATACTAATTCGGTATGATTCTGGACTAGACTGCCACTAATCATTAATATACAACTTACCTTGATCTGTGTACAACGATCATAGCAATTCTAAGAAACATGATTACACGCTGCATATGAACTTATCATGATCTGAATCGTTTCTTTGAAGTTGCATCTTCTAACAAGAACTTGGTCTCTGAAACAGTGGGGTTTATCCTTCCGACATCATCCCACACAGCATACAAGTTTCCAGGACGAAGAAGTCTAATTCAGAGGCACTCTCAGCTCAAGCGAAAGCTGCTGTCAATAACCTTAGAGCTGGCTGTTTCCGAATATTAGGACTATGCAGATGTATTTCTCAGGCGATGAGCCAGTGACACAAGCGCAACCGAGTAGAACTTCAACCCTTCTCTTAAAAAAAGGTTCCCATCCTTTCTATAGGCCATAGGATCATTTCATTATACACTGGTGAACGTCTAATCTTTGCATCCGCTTGATGCTATATGATAGAAAATCATTTCTGTTTTCTTCAGGCAGTAACTTTTAAAGGACTTATTTTGTTAATATGATTGTCTCCGTGTTTCTAGAGGCCTCTGGTAAAAAAGAGTGCACCTGGGGAGAATTCTGGTCTGTGTATTTCTATGCTATTAAGAAAGTGCAGCAGTATTGTTATTATTTGTGGTGGACCATTACGTTCATGGCTTTCTCTCACTGGCCACTGAACAACTGGTGGGGTTGTTATCGTTAATTGGAGGGGACATAATTTGTCTCCACAGTTGTATAAATTGCTTGTGTCTGTGTTTAGGGTTTTTTCTCAAACAGGGTGAAGATTGGCACTGGGTTGTGGTAAGCTAGCCATCTCAGTAATCATGATGTCGAACCACCACCATTCCAACCATTTGATGCGAAGTTCAAGTGATGGACCCAATCTCCCATTGCTTCCATCCGGGTGTGTATTGCTAAGATCTTTCCTGTCTGCTCTCTTTTGAGTAAATTTTTTTTCTTCTCAGAGCATTTTGGAATCTATTTCTATTATTATATTCGCGTTGTTCGGTTATGGTATGTTCGCAACTCGTTAGGATAGTTGTTCCGTTTAGTTAGAGTCAGGAAGGACATATATACATGTAGCTAACAGGTTCTGTATTTGGAGCTTTCATTTATAACTCTTGATTTGATTCTTAAATTAAATAGATTTTATGGTTGTTAGCAATATGTGACATGTGAGTAATTAATAATTAAACACAGAGCAAACTAATTGTTAGCAGTTTTGGATGGACATTTCAAGGTCCTATTTATTTAAACTGAACATGTCAACAGCTTAAATGACATAGTCACATTGACCCATTTTATCAGATTACCTCCCCCTTCAGCAAATATTAATCTCCAACCTTGATTTGCAGGTGGCATGTTGAAACGGAGGAAGCTCTGCCGTTTTGGGTCTCAAGAGCCCTTGAAACGGAGGAAGCTCCTGAAAGGCAGAAACCCCTAAACTTCGGGAGCGTCTGAGCGCGCATTCAAATCATTATCACATCAAGGTCCCTTTTTTTCTGCATATGGACACCTGTACCAAACATCACATGGATCTGTGAGAGCACTAAACGCCAATTCCAGCAGCAATTATGATACACTTTTGACGGGTCCTATTCCGGGTAAGTTTTCCTGACCATTTTTCTGCCCAACTTTCTGCATAAAGATTCAGAAGGATCTTCTCGGAATATGGTGAATTGTTGAGTACAAACATGCTACATGTGGGTTGATCGTTTGTTGCTAAATACAATTTGAAAAAAACCCTTTTTGTTCTCATTCTATTGAATCCTTTCAGATAAAAAAGAATAATAAAAAAAAAATTAGTTGAATCAAAAACTTGCTTCAGTCGGGTTGCCTCGAATCTACTTTTGCCCCATTTGATTCTTATCTTTCGTTTGTTTTCAATCGATGTAGTTCCATTCTGGACCAAATCAGATCATGCACCCCTTAGGTCTAAGCTAGTGTTTATTTATGCTGCAATCCAGAATTCACTTAGGTAGCATGGTACTAACTAAGGCCCGTTGCATTTGACCTGTCACGTACTATAACTGGATTGCTATGAAGTCGCTGTCCCACGAAAAGCTTATCTCCTTTATGTTCTTTTCGGGCTAGTTTGATAGGTAACTGGGAGTGGAGAGTTGATTAAGATTTCAGCCTTTAGTCCTGTTGGTCTGGAATGCCAATGTGTAACTAAACCATTGTTTGGCTTCTTGTCATTGTTCCGTGTCATTTGTTGAAACTTTAGCTTTGTGATTCTCAAGTTCTAATCCTACATCTAATCAGTTCGGGTAGGGTCCGACTGTTGAAAAAGTCACATGTATTCTCCCTATAAGTTTTTAGAAGAGGGAAAGATGAAATTTCCGTTGACATGTACGATGTTATAATGCGGTAGAAAGGACATGTTCAACATCTGTTGATCTTTTGATAAGAAATGTGCAATCTTCCGAGCCTAGACCCCCTGGATAGTTCGACTTTCGTTTGAGTGTATACCTGTTGGTGGTTTGTTTTCCATTTTTAATCGTTGGGTAGAACTCGTAATACAATAAGTAGGTGAAAAATCAACTAAGTTTGGTGGTAGGCTGAAAGATAGGTAACGTCGTGCTGTGATTTCAGGACATCGTGCTTAACAGGATGGCATGATCTTACATTGAAAATCTAGCTTTGAGAGATTTTGCTTAGGATCGTTTGAATTCCGCTGTTTCAATCGGCCCCCTTTCTTTTTGATAACCTTATAGCGAAAAGGAAGTCTGAGTGCATTCATTACGCTTTGTCTACTTGTTCCAACTGTTTTGACAACCTAGTTTCTTCAAACCCAGCAAAACTAATAATTGGCCCCTTCTTTTTTTTTTTATTATTAAGCTTTTCGTAATCACATTTTCCTCACTCTGAAGTAGATTTCCAGTTAAATAATCCCCTCCTTATTAAGTTTCTTAAAAGTATCATATTCTTCCATTTCTTTTTTTTAAAACAAGATATCGTATTTCTTCCTTCTTCCCAGATTCTGCTTCAAAGCTAAGCTGAATCAGCTTATTTCATGTGTCAGCTTCCACGCTTTTACGTTTAGAGATGAATAAAATATCAGGTTTGGGTGGTGTTTGGTTGTGGAGCGGAACTGTTTAGTACTAGAATGATGAGCAGTGGAAAAGAAGAGGCCTAATTTGAGGGTAGCTGTCAATCATTAATTCATAAGAGCCAGAGTGGGGACTAGGGCGGTCTTAATTAAGTCGTTAATCTCTATTTTATTGATAAGGGGCAGTTTCTGTCAAATGGATAAAACGCATATATAACTATAAATGATGGTAATTAAGAATAATGCTAAAAATAAAAATAAAAAGAAGTTGAGATCTTTTATTAGCACTGAAGAGAACTTTTTGAGATCTTTTATTAGCACTTTCTTTTCAATTTGGTGGGGATTGGGATCTTTCACATGTCCTTTCTCAATCTTTCAAGTGGGCTGTCCTTTTTTTTCCTTCTTTAATTTTTGGGTGGAAAGTGGTGGGCTGTGTGAGTGCTTTTACTTAGACAAACAGATGGTTAAAATTTCTCTGTTACAGTCTGGAAATTTAGTTAAAACGTTGACGTTTTTTTTTTCTCTTACTACCTTATCTGCATGACTGAATCTGCACTTGCTGCTTTCGGTGGTCACTCACTTCCCTTTTGCCTTGTTTGTTGTCTCCTTTGTTTGTTCCACTGATATTCCACGCATGCTTATCTTCTTGACCTGTGACTGTGTGTGAGTGAGTGGTGGTTTCTAAAAATCCTGGATTTCCTATAGTTGCACAATTTTGGTTCTTTGGCAGGTTTCTAAAAATCTTTGATTTCCTATAGTTGCACAATTTTCCAGCTTTGGTCTCCTGTGTATTTGCTGGGCCTGAGATTTTGGTTTCGGTTTTTCGGTTTAAATGGAAACCAAGCCGATAAAGACCGTAAGGTTTCGGATTTTTCAGTTTCAAATCTGGTTGAATCTTAATAAACAAAAAAAAAAAAAAAATGATCCAAAATTGGAGATGTAGAGGTTTCGGTTTTCGGTTCGTTCTAAAACTGAACCCGATAAGGTCTTATCGGGTTTTAGCTAACCAAAAACTGATAAATCTTTAAGGGTTTCGATTTTGGGTAAAATATCATAGTTCGTTTTTGATTTTCCAACGGGTCGGTTAACCGAAACGGTCCTCCTAGTAACTACTCGATTATTGTTGTTAGCATTTTCTTCTGAAAACATAGAATATCTAAACTCTGATTTTTTCCACCACTAGAAATGAATGTTAAGTTCAAAAGTGTGATACGTCAATTGAGTGGGGCGGAATGAAGTCTAGTTGGTGTAAAATACAGGGCAGCAGCAACACATTTAATAAGCGTTTGGTGATGTAGCCACCGCCCACCGGCCTTTGATTATTTTGTTGGAGGAGATTGTTTCAATTACAAGCTTATATAAGGGAAAAAGGCTTCTTTACCTTCCAGAAAGTCTTTTCGGAAGAGAAAGATAGATACGGCAGGATGGATCCGGTTGCCTCACCCACACGAAGAAAGAGTTTTGTTTTGTGTGTCTCGTCTTGTTTCAAAGGAATGGATAAAATAACAGAATACTACCAATAAATAAATAAATACATACATACATACATACATACAACAAATTTCTTTCATTTCATTGGTCCTTTACTTCTTTGAAAGGTCGCCAAAGCCTCAGTCAGTTTATTTTCTTCTCTCTTCGGAAAAGCCAACGTCACCAACTATAACGACCAAAATATCTCTTTTGTTTAGTTTAAACGCCCACAAAATATCTTGTAGAAGAGAGAGAGAGATAGAGAGAGAGGGGGTGGCAGCCAAAATATCTCGCAATATACAGTGGCGGAGGCAGGATTAGAAACTACCCCTGTCCTCTTTTTAAAATATAAATATATAATTAATAAAAATTTAATAAATATAATTAAAAATAATAATATTCATATTATTCATTCATAGATAAAGAAACAATCAACTAATACAATTATATTTTGCATAAACAACCACGACGAGTTTTCGTATTCCGAAACAAATGCAAAATACATTCGTTGTGTACACTTTTAAGTAAGTCTCTTTCAGTGTATCCCATTAAATAATCATAGCTAACTGATCGTCAATCCAACTTTGAAGTTGTTCTTAATACAGCTGAAGCTAAAAATGCTCTTTCTAGTTTCATAAGCAAATGAACTTACGGATATATGACTTATAACCTTTCATCTCCATCAATGCTCGAGATAATTCATCATGTACAAGCTGTTGTCGAATAATAGTGTCATGAATGGAATCAATTGACTAATTTTTAGCAATTAATGAACAAGTAATGAGTTGTGATATAGTTGACAAAACATCCTTATGTTACTTGTATGGGTGGTATTTTTTTTCTCTGCCAAATATTACCCCTGTCCCAGGACAAGGCCAAAATGGCCTAGCTCCGCCTATGGCAATATATCTCTTCCATTGCATGTGCTGTAACATTTGGTTTCTTTGATGGCTTTATCGTGCAAAATATCTTGGGAGTATCTTTGATTTCATATATGGTGTTTGACCTATGTTTATGTTGTGGAGGGTACTTTAACTTTGTGATGGGATCATACCAACCCTAATTTGATCTCAATCTCATAATTGTACGTATTAGTATAAAAGTAGTGCTAAGATGTGTGTGGCGTTTTGAGAAGTTTAGTGTTGTATTAGCGAGGAAAAAATATATTTCTTAAACTCTGTCAATATATAGTATGACAACTGATGAGTTGTCTGTCTGGGTTAGGAAATCCAATGAGGCATTGGATCCAATTATCTTATAAGTTATAATACAGTGTATTTGTGTCAAATATAGCCAAACAAGAAGGTGACCATGTGTTATATTTGAAAAAATCACGATTTTTGTGTTCGAATAATATAGAAAGAGGAGAAAATTGAGAGGAATAACATTTCTGAATGTTTGTGTTTTTTTTTTCGTTGTCCCAAATGCCTTGTTTTTTTTTTGTGCCCTAAATGTTGTGTTTTGTAATTTTGAAGTGTATGCGACGCTCTTCGGTAAAACCCTAATGGAATGGCGTAGTGATAAAATAAGGATGATAAATCAAATGCATCTACTATACCTTTAGTTAAAATTTTGGAATTTGGAGTCAACAATCTTCGTTACTAAAGAAAAAATTAGGTGCTCTTGATTGGTTTGTATGAGTAATTCCTTCTCCCTTTATGCCACTTAGATATAACTTCAAGCATACATCGTAGTCTTTTTTATTATGAGGCACTTTTTCTTAGTTTAATGCACAATTGCACATCTATATATAATGAAGTATTTGAGCCTTGGATTTGAATGCACGGAAGCTCGCTTGCTTCTTGTTGTTAGTGTTGGCAATGTAATTAAAAATGGAGCGCTTCTACTATGCTATATAGCATTGGTGCTTTAATGTACAACTCAAAGTTGTACCATAACATTAAATGTATAAGTTTAGGTTGTACCATAAAGCAATTTGTACCATTATGTTATGGTACAACTTTACAACTTGAACTTGTACCATCACATAAAGGTGCAAGTTCAAGTTGTACCATAAAAGAATTTGTACAAAAGTATAGGTACAATCTAAAGTTGTACCATAACGTAAATGTACAATTTTAAGTTGTACCAGAAAGGCAAAAACATATAACACTAATACTATATAGCATTGTAAATTGTAAAATTTCTGTTAAAAATTGTATTAAGTCTTGATTTTTTTAATCATGATGCCATCTGACTTCACAAAATTTGCTTAGCTGGAAAGAGTAGGAGTGGAAGGGAAAGGCAGCAGGAAGTTAGATTGGTGAAGAAAGTAGACATGCAGCAGCAGGGTGCCACGTTGAAATGTTGGCCGACGGTACGAAGCCAAAGAAAGTAAGAAATTACCTAACTTTGCTCTTTCTTGTTTTTGCGCTAACTTAATGATAATAAGGTTTAGTTTGGTAGACCATAAAATTGGAAATTTTAGGAAAAGAGTGCAAAAAAGGATTCGAAACACTAGAATATGGGATTTCGACTAGTATAGCAATTTTCTTCTTGTTTAAACAATTGTTGTATTGACTCGAGAGAATTATTGGTTACGTCTTTTTCAAGCATTTCCTTTTCTTTGGGAAGTCTGCAAGACTAAGTTTTTGTAGCATCAAATTGTGTATACATATTATATACAATACAGTATGGTGATCAACAACGTCATGAGTTCAACGATATCGCGAGATTAAAGATCTCCCAAGTTTAGCAACATCGCGGTGAGTAGGTGAGTCCAACAATGTCGTTGGATCAAAAGAACAGCGTTGTTTAATCAACCACATCGCCATGAGTCCTGCGACGACGTGGTTTCAAGCAGTGGAGTTTTGTTAAGGCTCGAATCAAGTTCAGATGTGGTGCATCAATGAAGCAACAATGCAGTGTTCTGAACTGCGACACTGTTCCTAGGCTGGGTTCTTTTTGTGCACGTGAGTCTCACGTGGAGAGAAATCGAGATTGGAGATGCAGTGTCGTTAGTGACTACAATGTTTGCAACAAATGTATTTTCTTTGACGTGAGATTCAAGTCAATTTGAGTGAGGAGGAGATCAAGTCGGTTGAGACACGTGGGAGTTCTCCCGGACGACGGAGTAGCTGAGGAAGCAGTTGTGTAACGAAGTTACGTGAGACTACGAGGATGGTTTTTGATAAAATGACCCAAGGAAGGAGAGAAAGGGGACAATCAAATCAACACAGAACAACCATGTTCCAATTTTATCTTTTTTTCTCTGTAGCTCCTTCGCGGAGCTCTCCTCCCAGAAGGGATCTCTATAATCGTAGTTGTAGCGTAGTTGAGGAGTTCTTCACAGGAATCTCCATAAGAGTAGTCGTAATGTAGATTCCCCCAAAAAATCAAACACCCTCGTTTAAACATTATTCGAAAAAGTGAGAACCGAGTAATAATTGTCTTGATTTCTATAAATTGGTGCATCGATCAAATCAATACCGAAAAACACACTTCCATCTTACAATCCGATGACTCCAAGTAATATATATATATATTTTTTTTATAGTATGAACGATAGTCTGCTTAATTAAAAAAATCATCATTATAATGATACGATTAATGATTGATGCGTATTTGATTTAAATGGTTATTCACTTATTCCCGTAGTCTATCTATAGCACTATACTCATCGCTCAATGCAAGCGGATCAGAAATGAGAAGGACAAGGGCAGAACTGGAAAGGAAAATAGAAAAAAAGGTGCCAGCCAGGTAGGGTATGATGGTGGAGCCCACAAAAGTTTTACCCTTTCTGCCTTTTCGCTTTGTCTTTCTCTCCTTTGCGCTTTTTATCGGCCTGATGTCACGTTTTCTTAATACGCACCCACCCACCCCACGCATTTGCCTATCCCCTTGGATTAATATTTTCGTATGGCCTGAACTTTGACCAAAATAAACATTCTGGCCAATCTTTTCGATCTATAACATCCTGGCCCGAACTATACACCAAAATAAACAATTTGGCCAAACACGATATTTGACCGTTAACTTGGACGGTCAAACGCGTTGACTAACGGTCAACGCGCCACGTCACTGCCAAGTCAGAAGATCTGATAAATATTTACTTTTTTTTTCGTTTTTTATTTTTGGTTTAACTAAGGTATTAGATGATTTTTTAATTTATAATAATTTAAAATTAGGGAATGTGTGAAAATTGTGAATTATTTTAAATATTTTATGCTGACTTGGTAGTGACATGGCGCGTCGACTAACGGTCAATGCGTTTGACCGTCCAAGTTAACGGTCAAAAGTCGGATCTGGCCAAATTGTTTATTTTGGTGTATAGTTCGGGCCTGGATGTTATAGATCAAAAAGACTGGCCAGGATGTTTATTTTGATCAAAGTTTAGGCCATACGAAAATATTAACCCATAAAAGAATGTAGAAACAATTCTACATATGTATTCAAGTATGTATATCGTAATTCCCTAATTTATCAGTCGGTTTCTTTAGGCCGAGGCCGAGGTTTTATCTGTACCCACTAAAAATCGTCGGGATTAGGTCAGATTCGGGCGAATATCAACAGTTATTGTCTTACTGATGTTTTCGTCATTCCTGTTGCTACCACCATGAGTCCATGAGCCCCTTGCACTCAGTGGCGGATACATGGTGTGCTTTAGGGTGTCTCGGGACACCCCTAAAATTTGGAAAAACGATTATCCAACCTCCGGTAGTAGTTTCGGAACATCCTTACAAATTGAAAAAACGATTATCTTACCATCGATAGTAGTTTGCGTATGATTTAAAAAACATAAGTGGTAGTCTGTGTTATTTAAACCTAGGACACTACTATTATTAAACATATTTTCCACTAGATTATAACTTATAACTCATGAGTTATTCTATTCTAAACACTATGTAATAGTAAAAACATGATTCCTTATCCCTAGGGGTAACCCTAATTTGAATTGACTTTATGGTTACACAGAGTGTTGAAAGAGTTTTTTCAACTTTGAGTTATATCATAAACAAGGTTAGAAATTGAATATGCGATCAGTTTGTGAAATATTGTCTAGTAGGATATACAAATTTGTTGAGCAGTGTAGACATCGAATCTATTTTATATTTTTTTCAAAATATGAAAACACATGGTGGATTTTTGTTAAAATTTGTACTAATCAGATATTTTCTGATTTATGAATTGTTTAATTTAATTTAATTTTTGGAAGAGGACACCTCTACAAAAAATTTATGGATCCGCCACTGCTTGCACTCTAATGGTTGTCAATGTAGACACACTCTTTGTGGGTGGGGCGAACCCCGCCTTCGAGCTTCATAAAGACTGAAACCACACGAGGATCACAATAGATTCCCTAAGACTTCTTCGAAACACCGAACCCAAGAGGTGACAGACGGAAAGAGAGACAGAAAATTATAATTTTTTTAATTCAATATCTTACATTAAGTACATTTCTCTCACCTTATCTCTTACTTTTGTTTTTTAGCCGGCTCTTTGCCTTCCCTCGGCCAACTTCCATCGACCGCCTTCCTCCAGACGCCTTCCTCTGACAACATATTATAACTACACTGATAACATGGGTCTAGATCTGGTGAGTAATTTTGTGCCGAGTAACCCTGCATAACCCTACCATCAGCCATCACATCAGCGCCCCCTACCACATATGAAAGGCTTTTAACCTTTTCTCTTTTAATTTTTAACGGATGATTTCTCTCTCGTTTTAAGTTGAAATTAAAAAAAATTTTGCACATAACGAGAGGTATGATTTTTTTTTTCTTTCTAAAAACATATTAAAAAATGAAACTCATTTTGTAAAGCACAACGAAATCGTTTCATCTTTGCAAAAAACTGAAATTCAAGTTAGAACGAAGAAGATAAGAGCCGATTAAAAAAACTAAAAAAAATAATAAAAAAGTATTTAATTCTCAACTCTTAGATATGAGGCTCAATTAAAATGAAAGGCTTAGATCTTTTTATAAAAATTGTGCACCAATTGGATTATGTACCATATCCACAACCACTCATAAACAATATCATTACACCCACATCAGTATCAATATAAAATATACATTACCAATAAACCGGTAATGTTATCACTACATTGATTGGAACAAATTACCATTACATTACCACTACATTAGAGCATATTACCACTGCAATGCCACTACACTAATAATAAACCAAACCACTCATAGACAATACGACGTCCGATTTGATAAAAACTTGTTCGACAATCGATTTGTTTTATAATTGAGCCGATTCGTGAACAAGGAATGCAATGATTAGCTCGATAGGCTCGTGAACAAGTTTGTAATAATTTACGTGTTTGTTGTTGCCAGGTTCGAGCTTGAATTTGAGTTACAATCGACATTTTATCAATTGAATGCAATTTTTGTTCATTAATCATTTGACAAGTTCAAGTGGAGCTCGAACTTCTATTTTTGTAAGCGAGGCAAACTCGACCTTGTCCTTGCCTATTAAATCTTGTGAGGAACTCGAGCCGAATTGGAACCAAGCCGAGGTTCATTAACAGCACTAGTTCAAATTTTGGGCTGATAGCCTGCTGGCCTTTCCCGCACAAAAATTCCGACCGCTTCTTCCTTCTCCTGAATGTTCCATTCAGATATTTCGTAGCGACTAGCGACTCGTTGCTACTCGAAATTCATCCAAATTAATCACAGCCATGGCTTCTGGTCCTCGGACTACTGAGCGTCTCTGCGACTCCGAAACCGACGAGCAGAACTTCGCGCAACGGAAGAAGCGGTTGCGCAGCGTCAGCTTCGCCGAGGTCGAGATCACTTCCGTCTACGTCTTTGAACGCGACGAGAGCAACGAGACTCCACCGGCCGACGGTGCCTCAACGAAGAACCAGACTCCCGAGCCTGAGAACGAGGTGCTAGGGTTTTTCAAGGAGCTTGCGGATGGCAACGACGATTTGGGAAAGTCTACATTCTGTGGAGGCGAAGCCGAAGAAGAAGAAGTTGAGGATCCCAGTGCTCGCAAGTCGTTTCTGCAGCCGATGGAGTCTCCCGGGAGTAGCATTTTCGATTCCGCTACACGGTTCGTGTTTTTTTTTTTTTAGCTTCTGGTTGCAGTTAGCTTTCTTTTTTCCACTATTCCAGTTTACTTGCTTGTGAATTTGCTGTAGTATTCTCTCTAGGAGATCTGGCCGAGCGTTCTGTAATGACTAGTGCTTGAAATGTTTCCTGCCCCGTTTCAATTTTGGCAGTGGGTAATTTTTTCGCTCCTGTGTCGACCGATTTCATTAGACCTAGACGCTTGTCCGATACTGGTGATTCGAATGATAATAATCACGAAATCGCGATGGACTCAATAGCATTTTCCATGCATTTCTGCAGTCTCGTTGGGGCGGAATCAGGGGACCTTAAGACCCCTACCAAAGTTAGATTTGGCTTTGGAGAGAAGAACCCTTCCAGCTTAGGCACCCCTTCCAATCCAGGGAGTCTCATGAAATTTACAATGGCCAAGAGATGCAGTGTGGATCTGTCACTGGTTATACCAGTCCAAATTTCTTGAAGAGGGACGAGGCTCAATTGCAGCTTGAGAATGGAAAGATAGAGTTCCATCAAAATGGTTGTTTGGATAAGGGGCTTGACAGAGTTGGTGCCCATGATGTTTCAACTGAGAGAGTAACCCTGGGAGGGGGTGCTTCTGCAGCCAGCCATAGTGACCAGAATAATGATTTCCACTCACCGAGTAGAAATGAGCAATTGCCAGCAGATATCTCTATTCGTGTACCAATTAGTCTCAATCATTTGGCTGAAGTAAACACTCCGGATCATTTTAATCGAAGATGTAATGTAACATTTGTGTTGAGGATTGGTGGGTATTGTTTGGAGAAGATTGCTTATGTTTGCTCGGCTGGCAGAGACTGAATAATCAAGGGTCATAATCTGCGTTAATGTTTCTTGTCCCACTTTCTATCTAATGTGCAGATTTCACTGGAACTTTCTGCACTTATGAAAGACGTGCTTTCTCTTTCGGTTGATGCTCTAAATATTAAATCGCTATTTGTTATCCCAACTTCAAATTTCTTTCTTTTACTGTACTTTGGAAGCATGCTAGATTTTGCGTCTTTGACTTTGTTCAAGTTTCAGTGCATTTGATAACTCTTATCGTGTTCATTTGAAGTAAACATAATGTGCGTTTGTAGATTGATATGCTGCAAGATATTTTGGATCATCAACAGAATGTCAAGATACGTCAGATGTTTTTATCGCAAATTCAACAGGTCTTCCCTTTAGTAATTAGATTTTGTGGATATTTTGATGCACTTATTACTTCTTCTGATGTGAAGTAGAAGTTAGCTTATTATTGTAATTTGTGATAAAATCTTGAAATTAACTAGTTGGCTTTGTGTGCCATTTTACTGAACCTGCTGCAGAAAATTTGTGATCGGGCGAGCAAAAAGATGCCTGACAGGTGGATAAAACTCTTACAAATTTAAGGTCGTTATGTTTTTAATTTATGCAGCTTTTGGGTTTGCCTTGCTGTCTGTAATTATTGACTTATTGTGTATTGAAGTCTCAGGACAGCAGAAATGAGAAACTTGATTTGTAAGTTAGTCTTTGAAAGAGCAAGAGTGCAAGTGTGCAACTAGTGGCTGTGAAGCAACAGAAGTTTTTGGTTTCTAACTCTCCTCTTGTTGGTTTTCTGTTTTTCGATTTTTTGCCTGGCTGTTTTTTCAGACATATCTTGCCTTACCTATGACAGAAAAGAAAACAAATGCTGAGCATTGCAGTTCAAGAGTCCCAAATGCTTAAATCATCTGAAGTTTTGTGTCTGCCTGTGCCTAGTTTACACATCAAAGACAAGGTGAATAAATCAGCCTTGAGAACAATTAATGGAAGGGTACATTCTCAAGTGGTCGTGCAGTGGTGCTAAATATTAGTCTCTGACCATTTTCATTGTGTAGCAGAACAAGCTTCGTGAGGGTTTTAAATAAACTTTTCATTTCATGACGATTTATTTAATTATTTCATGTCAGGTGCCCAGTGAGAAGTTGGTTGCATTAAGGCATGAATTTGAAGCTTTGGAGGGAAAGCTTAATACTTCAACTCAGCATTTCCGTAGTGAGTACAAAATCGGAACAGAAGCTAGTTGTTCCTTGATGATAGGAATGGTTAATGATCAGCTAAAGAAAAGAATCTCTTGTAGGCACATATATAAAGGGATCCAGGTATGTTCATCTGGAGTGGATTTGGGTTGCTACCCGGAAAAGTCAGGTTTACATTGCTGAAAATATTCTTCCACATTTCTTCCGTTGTATGAAGTTCAGGATTTGGCGAACAAGAATGGCGCCGTCAGCATTGTTCTTAACTACCTGGATTTGTTGTCCCAAAGGTTTTATTGATTGTTTCTATCTTTTTCATTGTACCTTACATTCTACTTACGCCACATTCTGTATTAAATTATTTTCCTTCAATGACAATATGTAGACTCACCATAACTGGTGCTCGCACTCCTAGCTTATTGGTCTCAACCGAGTTGAATGAGGCAAATATAATGAAGGTAGCATGCTTGAGTGTTGACTTTATGTCGGATAGGTTTTCCTTTTCCTTTGCTCTGATAATTCTTATTCGTTGCCCTCCCTGTTACGTTACCAGAAATTCACCAACATGGATGCTTGTGCTGCATTTGCTTATGTTCTAAATGCTGAGGCCACTATGAAATATGTTGGCTCCAGAAGTTTGGCGCAGGAAACCAGAGTATGTTCTGTTAGTGTTCTTCTCTACCATATTTCATTGCATGTCCAGCTAAAATACATCATAGGCTACCTGGTTTAGTTAAATTATCATAGTTTTTGGTCTTGATTTGCAAGCTCTATAATCTCTTGTCTTGTAAGATTTAGTGTACTCAAATCCCATTCTTTAACTTCTGTTTAGTTGTAACGTTTAGAGATGGTTTCATTTACAGATGGCCTGTTCACTTTTGCATAATCTTCTGGACGTTGTTCAAGAATTGCAAAAGGCAAGGATAGAGTCCATAAATTTTGTTGATGCAACCTTCGCTTCGGTTTCTGGTAACAGTCCTCTCTTTTACTCATTCTTTTTAGCTCTCTACTGCCATGTCTCAATCTGCTTTGGTAATTGGTACGTGATTTTGAAAATGTTTCTGTAGTTCTGTTAATGACGTCCATGTAATTTGAACATAAAATATTTCAAGATTGGTGTAATTAGAATCAGACACAACTTTTGATCCAAGAATGGTTCTCATGTTTCCTTCAGTTTTTATCAGTCTTTATACTAATTCGGTATGATTCAGGACTAGACTACCACTAATCATTAATATACAACTTACCTTGATCTGTGTACAACGATCATAGCCATTCTAAGAAACATGATTACACGCTGCATATGAACTTATCATGATCTGAATCGTTTCTTTGAAGTTGCATCTTCTAACAAGAACTTGGTCTCTGAAACAGTGGGGTTTATCCTTCCGACATCATCCCACACAGCATACAAGTTTCCAGGACGAAGAAGTCTAATTCAGAGGCACTCTCAGCTCAAGCGAAAGCTGCTGTCGATAACCTTAGAGCTGGCTGTTTCCGAATATTAGGACTATGCAGATGTATTTCTCAGGCGATGAGTCAGTGACACAAGCGCAACCGAGTAAAACTTCAACCCTTCTCTTAAAAAAAAGGTTCCCATCCTTTCTATAGGCCACAGGATCATTTCATTATACACTGGTGAACGTCTTATCTTTGCATCCGCTTGATGCTATATGATAGAACATCATTTCTGTTTTCTTCAGGCAGTAACTTTTAAAGGACTTATTTTGTTAATATGATTGTCTCCGTGTTTCTAGAGGCCTCTGGTAAAAAAGAGTGCACCTGGGGAGAATTCTGGTCTGTGTATTTCTATGCTATTAAGAAAGTGCAGCAGTATTGTTATTATTTGTGGTGGACCATTACGTTCATGGCTTTCTCTCACTGGCCACTGAACTACCGGTGGGGTTGTTATTGTTAATTGGAGGGGACATAATTTGTCTCCACGGTTGTATAAATTGCTTGTGTCTGTGTTTAGGGTTTTTCTCAAACAGGGTGAAGATTGGCACTGGGTTGTGGTCAGCTAGCCATCTCAGCAATCATGATGTCGAACCACCACCATTCCAACCATTTGATGCGAAGTTCAAGTGATGGACCCAATCTCCCATTGCTTCCATCCGGTGCTTGAGATGGGAACAAAATACTGAAAAGCGGGTGCGTATTGCCAAGATCTTTCCTGTCTGCTCTCTTTTGAGTAATTTTTTTTTTTCTCAGAGCATTTTGGTATCTATTTCTGTTATTACATTCGCGTTGTTCGGTTGTGGTATGTCCGCAACTCGTTACGATATTTGCTCCATTTAGTTAGAGTCAGGATGGACATATATACATGTAGCTAACAGGTTTTGTATTTTGAGCTTTCATTTCTAACTCTTGATTTGATTCTTAAATTAAATAGATCTTATGGTTGTTAGCAATATGTGACATGTGAGTAATTAATAATTAAACACAGAGCAAACTGATTGTTAGCAGTTCTTTATGGACATTTTTAACTTGGAAATTTACCAAGGAAGTTAGGAAATATTACAAGGTCCTATTTATTTAAACCGAACATGTCAACAACTTAAATGACATGGTCACATTGACCCATTTTATCAGATTACCTCCCCCTTCAGCAAATATTTAATCTCCAACCTTGATGTGCAGGTGGTATGTTGAAACGGAGGAAGCTCTGCCGTTTTGGGTCTCAAGAGCCCTTGAAACGGAGGAAGCTCCTGAAAGGCAGAAACCCCTAAACTTCGGGAGCGTCTGAGCGCGCATTCAAATCATTATCACATCAAGGTCCCTTTTTTTCCTGCATATGGACACCTGTACCAAACATCACATGGATCTGTGAGGGCACTAAACGCCAATTCCAGCAGCAATTATGATACACTTTTGACGGGTCCTATTCCGGGTAAGTTTTCCTGACCATTTTTTCTGCCCAACTTTCTGCATAAAGATTCAGAAGATCTTCTCGGAATATGGTGAATTGTTGAGTACAAACATGCTACATGTGGGTTGATCGTTTGTTGCTAAATACAATTTGAAAACCCCCTTTTTGTTTTCATTTCATTCTATTGAATCCTTTCAGATAAAAAAGAATAAAAAAATAAACTTGCTGAATCAAAAACTTGCTTCAGTCGGGTTGCCTCGAATCTACTTTTGCCCCATTTGATTCTTATCTTTCGTTTGTTTTCAATCGATGTAGTTCCATTCTGGTGGACCAAATCAGATCATGCGCCCCTTAGGTCTAAGCTGCAGTCCAGAATTCACTTAGGTAGCATGGCACTAACTAAGGACCGTTGCATTTGACCTGTCACGTACTATAACTGGATTGCTATGAAGTCGCTGTCCCACGAAAAGCTTATCTCCTTTATGTTCTTTTCGGGCTAGTTTGATAGGTAACTGGGTGTGGAGAGTTGATTAAGATTTCAGCCTTTAGTCCTGTTGGTCTGGAATGCCAATGTGTAACTAAACCATTGTTTGGCTTCTTGTCATTGTTCCGTGTCATTTGTTGAAACTTTAGCTTTGTGATTCTCAAGTTCTAATCCTACATCTAATCAGTTCCCTGTAGGCCCGTACCATAGTTAGGGTAGAGTCCGACTGTTGAAGAAGTCGCATGTATTCTCCCCACTATGTTTGGGAAGGGGGGGTAAATGGAAGGGGGGTGCAAGTTTGGGGGTAAACACAAGTTTCAAGGTGTTTACCCCCGTTTGGTTATTTTGTAACAGTAGGGGGGTGCAAAACGTGAGCGTAAATTCACTATTTCGGCTTACCCCCCAAATTGGGGTGCAAGGGAAGGAAGGAAGGGAGGGGGAAGGGGGAGGAGGGGAATTATGGATTTTTAATTAGATTATAATTACATAATAATTAATATTATTAATTTTTTCTTATATCTATATTAGTGTAGAAGTTGTTTGGGGTTGACCATTTGACTCGGAGAGCAAGTTTGTCAATGTTCGCCTAGTCAAATCGATATCTCTTAATTGACCCGAATTTGCATTGAAAATTAGAGATAAGAAGCGTTTGTTGAAAAGATAGAGAGGAACAGTTTAGTTAACTCGATTTACTTTAATAAGTAGTTAAAACTTATAGATTCGAACGTGTTTGACTAAGTTTGACCATATTCAATTTAAAGTTAGACACGAGAACCCCCTTAGGATGACCAGTTACGAGTTGGATTTCGAGTTTCGAGGTTGCTCGACCAATGATTATTATTATTATTATAAATAATTATATTTGAGCATTATTATATAATAATTATTTTTATTAAAATTATTTTTATTTATTATTTATTATTATTATATATTGAATTTTCATGTTATTATTTTGTGATAATATTTTATAAATTGATAAATCTATTTTATAATAATATAATTACTTACTTTTTACTCTATTTGCACCCCCCTACTTTTTCATCCAAACAACAATTTACCCCTCCACTTACACCCTCCACCAAATTGCACCCCCCAACAATTTACCCCTCAACTTGCACACCCCTCGAACTTGCACCCCCCTTGTTGCCAAACATAGTATGATGTTATAATGCTGTAGAAAGGACATGTTCAACATCTGTTGATCTTTTGATAAGAAATGTGCAATCTTCCGAGCCTCGACCCCCTGGATAGTTCGACTTTCGTTTTGAGTGTATACCTGTTGGTGGTTTGTTTTCCATTTTTAATCGTTGGGTAGAACTCGTAGTACAATAAGTAGGTGAAAAATCAACTAAGTTTGGTGGTAGGCTGAAAGATAGGTAACTTCGTGCTGTGATTCCAGGACACCGTGCTTAATAGGATGATAGAGATTACAGATGGTATGATCTTAACATTGAAAATCTAGCTTTGAGAGATTTTGCTTAGGATCATTTGAATTCTGCTGTTTCAATAGAGGCCCCCTTTCTTTTTTGATAACCTTATAGCGAAAAGGAAGTCTGAGTGCGTTCATTACGCTTTGTCTACTTGTTCCAACTGTTTTGACAACCTAGTTTCTTCAAACCCAGCAAAACTAATAATTGGCCCCTTCTTTTTTATTTATTTATTAAGCTTTTCGTAATCACATTTTCCTCTCTCTAAAGTAGATTTCCAGTTAAATAATCCCCTCCTTATTAAGTTTCTTAAAAGTATCATATTCTTCCATTTCTTTTTTTAAAACAAGATATCGTATTTCTTCCTTCTTCCCAGATTCTGCTTCAAAGCTAAGCTGAATCAGTTTATTCATGTGTCAGCTTCCACGCTTTTACGTTTAGAGATGAATAAAATATTAGGTTTGGGTGGTGTTTGGTTGTGGAGCGGAACTGTTTAGTACTAGAATGATGAGCAGTGGAAAAGAAGAGGCCTAATTTGAGGGTAGCTGTCAATCATTAATTCACAAGAGCCAGAGTGGGGACTAGGGCGGTCTTAATTAAGTCGTTAATCTCTATTTTATTGATAGGGGGCAGTTTCTGTCAAATGGATAAAACGCATATATAATTATAAATGATGGTAATTAAGAATAATGCTAAAAATAAATAAATAAAAGAAGTTGAGATCTTTTATTAGCACTGAAGAGAACTTTTTGAGATCTTTTATTAGCACTTTTTGTTTCAATTTGGTGGGGTTTGGGATCTTTCACATGTCCTTTCTCAATCTTTCAAGTGGGCTGTCCTTTTTTTTCCTTCTTTAATTTTTGGGTGGAAAGTGGTGGGCTGTGTGAGTGCTTTTACTTAGACAAACAGATGGTTAAAATTTCTCTGTTACAGTCTGGAAATTTAGTTAAAACGTTGACGTTTTTTTTTTCTCTTACTACCTTATCTGCATGACTGAATCTGCACTTGCTGCTTTCGGTGGTCACTCACTTCCCTTTTGCCTTGTTTGTTGTCTCCTTTGTTTGTTCCACTGATATTCCACGCATGCTTATCTTCTTGACCTGTGACTGTGTGTGAGTGAGTGGTGGTTTCTAAAAATCCTGGATTTCCTATAGTTGCACAATTTTGGTTCTTTGGCAGGTTTCTAAAAATCTTTGATTTCCTATAGTTGCACAATTTTCCAGCTTGGTCTCCTGTGTAACTGCTGGGGCTGAGATTTCGGTTTCGTTTTTTCGATTTAAATTGAAACCGAGCCGATAAGGACCATAAGGTTTCGGATTCTTCGGTTTCAAATCTGGTTGAATCTTAATAAACAAAAAAAAAATGATCCAAAATTGGAGATGTGGAGGTTTTGGTTTTCGGTTCGTTCTAAAACTGAACCCGATAAGGTTATAGTTCATTTTTGGTTTTCCAACGGCGGGTCGGTTAACCGAAACGGTCCTCCTAGTAACTACTCGATTATTGTTGTTAGCATTTTCTTCTGAAAACATAGAATATCTAAACTCTGATTTTTGCCACCACTAGAAATGAATGTTAAGTTCAAAAGTGTGATACGTCAATTGAGTGGGGCGGAATGAAGTCTAGTTGGTGTAAAATACAGGGCAGCAGCAACACATTTAATAAGCGTCTGGTGATGTAGCCACCGCCCACCGGCCTTTGATTATTTTGTTGGAGGAGATTGTTTCAATTACAAGCTTATATAAGGGAAAAAGGCTTCTTTACCTTCCAGAAAGTCTTTTCGGAAGAGAAAGATAGATACGGCAGGATGGATCCGGTTGCCTCACCCACACGAAGAAAGAGTTTTGTTTTGTGTGTCTCGTCTTGTTTCAAAGGAATGGATAAAATAACAGAATACTACCAATAAATAAATAAATACATACATACATACATACATACAACAAATTTCTTTCATTTCATTGGTCCTTTACTTCTTTGAAAGGTCGCCAAAGCCTCAGTCAGTTTATTTTCTTCTCTCTTCGGAAAAGCCAACGTCACCAACTATAACGACCAAAATATCTCTTTTGTTTAGTTTAAACGCCCACAAAATATCTTGTAGAAGAGAGAGAGAGAGGGGGTGGCAGCCAAAATATCTCGCAATATATCTCTTCCATTGCATGTGCTGTAACATTTGGTTTCTTTGATGGCTTTATCGTGCAAAATATCTTGGGAGTATCTTTGATTTCATATATGGTGTTTGACCTATGTTTATGTTGTGGAGGGTACTTTAACTTTGTGATGGGATCATACCAACACTAATTTGATCTCAATCTCATAATTGTACGTATTAGTATAAAAGTAGTGCTAAGATGTGTGTGGCGTTTTGAGAAGTTTAGTGTTGTATTAGCGAGGAAAAAATATATTTCTTAAACTCTGTCAATATATAGTATGACAACTGATGAGTTGTCTGTCTGGGTTAGGAAATCCAATGAGGCATTGGATCCAATTATCTTATAAGTTATAATACAGTGTATTTGTGTCAAATATAGCCAAACAAGAAGGTGACCATGTGTTATATTTGAAAAAATCACGATTTTTGTGTTCGAATAATATAGAAAGAGGAGAAAATTGAGAGGAATAACATTTCTGAATGTTTGTGTTTTTTTTTTTCGTTGTCCCAAATGCCTTGTTTTTTTTTTGTGCCCTAAATGTTGTGTTTTGTAATTTTGAAGTGTATGCGACGCTCTTCGGTAAAACCCTAATGGAATGGCGTAGTGATAAAATAAGGATGATAAATCAAATGCATCTACTATACCTTTAGTTAAAATTTTGGAATTTGGAGTCAACAATCTTCGTTACTAAAGAAAAAATTAGGTGCTCTTGATTGGTTTGTATGAGTAATTCCTTCTCCCTTTATGCCACTTAGATATAACTTCAAGCATACATCGTAGTCTTTTTTATTATGAGGCACTTTTTCTTAGTTTAATGCACAATTGCACATCTATATATAATGAAGTATTTGAGCCTTGGATTTGAATGCACGGAAGCTCGCTTGCTTCTTGTTGTTAGTGTTGGCAATGTAATTAAAAATGGAGCGCTTCTACTATGCTATATAGCATTGGTGCTTTAATGTACAACTCAAAGTTGTACCATAAGTCCATAACCTTAAATGTATAAGTTTAGGTTGTACCATAAAGCAATTTGTACTATTATGTTATGGTACAACTTTACAACTTGAAGTTGTACCATCACATAAAGGTGCAAGTTCAAGTTGTACCATAAAAGAATTTGTACAAAAGTATAGGTACAATCTAAAGTTGTACCATAACGTAAATGTACAATTTTAAGTTGTACCAGAAAGGCAAAAACATATAACACCGATACTATATAGCATTATAAATTGTAAAATTTCTGTTAAAAACTGTATTAAGTCTTAATTTTTTTAATCATGATGCCATCTGACTTCACAAAATTTGCTTAGCTGGAAAGAGTAGGAGTGGAACTTTGGAAGGGAAAGGCAGCAGGAAGTTAGATTGGTGAAGAAAGTAGACATGCAGCAGCAGGGTGCCACGTTGAAATGTTGGCCGACGGTACGAAGCCAAAGAAAGTAAGAAATTACCTAACTTTGCTCTTTCTTGTTTTTGCGCTAACTTAATGATAATAAGGTTTAGTTTGGTAGACCATAAAATTAGAAATTTTAGGAAAAGAGTGCAAAAAAGGATTCGAAACACTAGAATATGGGATTTCGACTAGTATAGCAATTTTCTTCTTGTTTAAACAATTGTTATATTGACTCGAGAGAATTATTGGTTACGTCTTTTTCAAGCATTTCCTTTTCTTTGGGAAGTCTGCAAGACTAAGGGGTCGTTTGCTTCAAGGATTTGGTACATGGATTTGGTACCAAAAAACCAACTATCAAGGATTTAGGTACAATCCGTTGTTTGCTTGCACCTTTTTTGGAGACCAAATCTGTGGGGGCCCACGGATTTTAAGGGTCCAAATCCGTAGACCCCACGGACTTATAAATCCCACATGTTGATGTGGGATTTGGAATATGGCATAAATCCTTGATGAGATTTTACCCATATACCCTCATGCACTTTTAATATTCCAAGGTTGCCCTCAAATTTAACTATTATACATTATAATTAATAATAAAATGAATAATATAAACGTTCAATTAATGTGCAAACATGAGTTAGATTTTTTATATCATTTCTTGTGTTCTAGTTTTCTTTGACCTTTTCATGGAACGTGTAATTCTTTGTTCTCCCGATTCTAATATATGTTGTTATATGTCACTTTTGAAAAGGAGGACAAAGAATTGGTAATTGATTATGCTACGTTAAAAGTTAAAACAGAATTTTCTCGTTTATTATTATTGTCCATGTGGCAACATTATGCTTATTAGTATGTATTGTCCTTATTTTGTGTACATATCATAAACATATAAACATGTCAAACATATAGAAAATGATAGTAAGGTAATTTTGAAGTTTTGTCCTTGTTTTGTGTACATATCATAAACATGTCAAACATATAGAAAAAGGGCAGTTTGTAATTTTTGACTTCAAGTAGTAAATCCCATACCTTTAAATCCATGATAAAAACATTCCAACAAACAAAGGATTGTTACAAATCCATGATGCCTCAAATCCTTGATAAATCCTTGGGTTTTTAAATTACAAAACCCTCATTTTTAAATCCATGAAGCAAACGACCCCTAAGTTTTTGTAGCATCAAATTGTGTATACATATTATATAAAATATAGTATGGTGATCAACAACGTCATGAGTTCAACGATGTCGCGAGGTTAAAGATCTCCCAAGTTTAGCAACATCGCGGTGAGTAGGTGAGTCCAACAATGTCGTTGGATTAAAAGAACGGCCTTGTTTAATCAACCACATCGCCACGAGTCCTGCGGCGGCGTGGTTTCAAGCAGTGGAGTTTTATTAAGGCTCGAATCAAGTTCTGATGTGGTGCATCAATGAAGCAACAATGCAATGTTCTGAACTGCGACACTGTTCCTAGGCTGGGTTCTTTTTGTGCACGTGAGTCTCACGTGGAGAGAAATCGAGATTGGAGATGTAGTGTCGTTTATGACTACAACGTTTGCAACGAATGTATTTTCTTTGACGTGAGATTCAAGTCAATTAGAGTTAGGAGGAGATCAAGTCGGTTGAGACACGTGGGAGTTCTCCCGGACGACGGAGTAGCTGAGGAAGCAGTTGTGTAACAAAGTTATGTGAGACTACGAGGATGGTTTTTGATAAAAATGACTAGAGCAAGGAGAGAGATGGGACAATAAAATCAACACTGAACAACGTGGGCACCGGGCCGTGCCGCCCACGGGCTAGCACGATACGGCACGGTTAGAGCACGACACGAGCACGAGCACGAAATAAATGGGCCAGCCCGGCACGAGCACAAATAATTTATGGGCCGTGCCGGGCCTAAACTTCATGAGCACGGGCACGAGCACGAGCACGGACACGGCACTATATATAAGTGGGCCGTGTCGGGCCTAATATTTTCTAGACTTTATTGAGTATAAGAACGGGCATGGCACGAAAATAATATTTATTTGATAGAAAATAAATGTAAAAAGAATTATAGGTTCAAATATTACAAAACACAAGTAGAAAAATAATTATTTGTTATTGTTAGAAGTGTCATAATGATATATACGTAATTACTAACATAAGTAAAAATGAACAAACAATTAAACAAAGCCAAATCACACTCGTTATACTTCCAATTTTCTTCCCCCCGATTTGTTACTTTTCTCAAACATTAGCGGTTAATACTATCTTCCTCCGTCCAATTTTCACCTTCTTTTTCATTCTCTCTTTTGTTTTCGTCCTTTTCATTAAACACGAATACGAGCATGGCACGAGCACGAATAGGCATGACACGATTCTAACTGTGCCCGGGCCTGGGCCGGGCCTAGCAAAGTTAACAAATGGGCTTGCATGGCACGACACGAAAACTAACGGGCCGTGCCAAGCTCGGCACGAAATAAATGGGCCCAAAGCGTGCCCGTGCCGTGCCAGCCCAAGCACGACCCAACGCCCATGTACACGAACAACCATGTTCCAGTTTTATCTTTCTCTCTGTAGCTCATTTGCGGAGCTCTCCTTCCATAAGGGGTCTTTATAATCGTAGTCGACGAGTTCTTCACAGGAATCTCCATAAGAGTAGTCGTAACGTAGATTCCCCCAAAAATCAAACACTCTCGTTTAAACATTATTCGAAGAACTGAGAACCGAATAATAATCGTCTTGATTTCTAGAAATCGGTGCTTCGATCAAATCAACACCGCAAAAAACACTTCCATCTTACAATCCGAAGACTCCAAGTAATATATATATATATATATATTTTTTATAGTATGAACGATAGTCTGCTTAATTAAAAAATCATCATAGAAATCGGTGCTTCGATCAAATCAACACCGCAAAAAACACTTCCATCTTACAATCCAAAGACTCCAAGTAATATATATATATATATATATATATTTTTTTTTTATAGTATGAACGATAGTCTGCTTAATTAAAAAATCATCATTATAATGATACGATTAATGATTGATGCGTATTTGATTTAAATGGTTATTCACTTATTCCCGTAGTCTATCTATACTGATCGCCTAATGCAAGCGGATCAGAAATGTGAGAAAGAAGGACAAGGGCAGAACAGGAAAGGAAAATAGAAAAAAAGGTGCCAGCCAGGTGGGGTATGATGGTGGAGCCCACAAAAGTTTTACCCTTTCTGCCTTTTCGCTTTGTCTTTCTCTCCTCTGCGCTTTTTATCGGCCTGATGTCACGTTTTCTTAATACGCACCCACCCACCCCCACGTAGGGGTGTACATGGGTCGGGTGGTCCGGGTTTAGGCATTTTAATCACCCGACCCATGCACTACGGTTTGGGAAATATTAAACCCAAACCCACCCAAAAAAATCTAAACCCTACGGTTTGTTTTTAATTGGGTTGGGTCGGGTTGGCGATATTTTTAAGTAAAAACCCAACCCAACACAAAATATGTAATTATTCTACATGATAAAAATATTTTATAACAAATTAAAAATTCAAACGAATAAACCGAGGCGAAAGGTATCAAAATTCACAAATATTGTTTGAATTTTAATAAAACTTTATTTACTTCAACTTATGTCTAACTTTTAAAATTGTACACAAGAAAAAAATACGTGAATCATAGCTATATTAAATATATGTCTAAACTTTAAGTCGAAGAATGCATTAGATTAGTGAGACTTTAAGATAAAAACATGGCGAAATATCTTAATTTTCTCATAAGTATGACTATATACGACATAAATATTTTTTTGGATACGAACTCATACCCATAATTAGAACACGGGTTGGGTCGGGTTCTACGGGTTGTGTAATCCAAAATCCAAACCCAACCCAAAAGAGGCGGGTTGTACAAAAGAAAACCCTCACCCAACCCAAAACCTTCGATTTAGCGATAAATACGGGTGGGTTGGGTCGGGTTGGACGGGTGGGTCGGTTTGCGGGTGTGTTTGTACACCCCTACCCCCACGCATTTGCCTATCCCCTTCCCCTTCTCTTCTTTTCTATCTCAACTGTGGCGTCTTTCTCCTTTCTTCTTTCATTTCTGGCCTGCTCCCTTTACTCACTATATATGTTGTGATTTTTATTTTTATTTTCTTCGTTTGTTCACATCCCATTTTCGAACACCAGAGCAGCAGAGAGAGACGAACTAGAGAGAGAGAGATTTCTTCTGTTTACCCTTCTAGGGTTTTCTTCACCATCCCTCTCCCCTTTGCCCCTTTTACAGAGATTGAGGTATTATTCTAATATACTTCCTTTCTCTAGCCTCGACTGCTTTGGTTACTGGATCCCCTCTCTGCCCTTATACCCTTTTTCAGGTAATCTTTTTGTTGCTGATCTTCTCCTGGTGAAATGGATCTTTCTCTTGATGTGTTTCTTCTGTGTGTTTTGAATTTGATCTTTTTCTTATTACTTCACTGTTTTCGTGTCCGGTGTGATTGATGGATTCTGGTGATTATGGGTTCTTTTTAAAAATGGTTTTTTTTTACCCGTCTCACCTTTATTTGCCGGCGGACTTGTTCTCGTTCCTCCCCTGTTTCTGTGGTGTATTCTGTTTCCTTACAAGGTTTGTCCGGAAAAAAAGTTGTGGGTGGTTCTTGTCTTTATATGGTATATATTAGTGGACTGCTTTGGATCTACTGCTCGTTGTTGAGTTTTTTTTGCTATTGGTTCCTCCTTCCTTTTGAAAGTTTTTTTTTTCTTTTGGCGGAGCTGTTGATTTTGATGGAAAACTGAGAAAGGATACTCCTTTGTTCGACTGGGGAAATTGTAGCAGTACTAGTTCTACCTTGGCTGACTTGTCTTCTTGGTAGTGGTCTAGATGTGGAACTTGAAAGGATATTTTCTTCAATATCTTATCTTTTTATTTTATTTTATGTGTTCATTATTGGAGGGGGGGTTTTACTGAGGATAAAAGTTGAGCTGTCAGTCTGCATCACCTCCCATTGAACTTCTTGTTTGTGTTCGTGAAGGCCTCTTTGTTCTTTTCTTCTTTTGTAGCTGAATTAGTTTTGCTGAACTTGCTGCCTTTTGTTACTGTTTGTAGGGATTTCAAGAGTGGGTTTTCTCTGAAGAAGCCCAATTCTGTTCTCTGTACTCTTTGGAAGATTTGGTGTACTTCTCATTAAGACACGGTTTGAAGATTGGAAAGATGGGTTACCTTTGTGATTTCTGTTGTGAGCAGAGGTCGATGGTATATTGTCGCTCAGATGCGGCTTGCTTGTGTCTATCATGTGATAGAAATGTTCACGCCGCCAATGCTCTATCGAAACGCCATTCCAGAACACTCTTGTGTGAGAGGTGCAGTTCACAACCCGCACTAGTTAGATGTGCAGAGGAAAAGGTCTCGCTTTGCCAGAACTGCGATTGGATGGGTCATGGCACCTCGACATCAGCTTCCGCACACAAGAGGCAAACTATCAATTGTTATTCCGGTTGCCCTTCTGCTTCCGAGCTCTCCTCGATATGGTCCTTTGTTTTGGACTTCCCTTCTACCAGTGAATCTACTTATGAGCAGGGCATGGGATTAATGAGCATAGCTGAGAATGTCGCCACGGAGGCCTGGCCATCCTCTAATGAAGAGGCTGACCGTCAAAACTTGGAGAGTATTCTTGAGATGAGCGATTCACGCGAAGTTGGAAAGTCAAGTGCTTGGGATGGATCTCGACCGATGACTGGGTCTGCTGCCAACCCAGAGAGACAAGGTCATCAGCCTACTGGATCGGGTAGTTCAACATTGCCAAAGGTATATGGTACTTGCATAATCTCCTTTGATGAATTGACAATGTAGCTTGTAATGTTTTGTATGAAAAAGTGCTTTTAGCTGCCTTCATAGTTTTTGCTCCATTTCTTCAGGCCACAGTCCATATTCATATTCATGTCCTGGATTAGCTAGAAAGCTAATAATATGACTTGTCAAGTCCTGGATTTTAAATTGCCTTTTCTTTTAGAGCCTGTTTCCTGAGTTTTATACATTTATATTCCTGGTTCTTGCATCTGATTTGTCGGTGGAGATTACTCGAACGAATGAGTTGATCCAAAATTTCAGTTTTATAGTACTACCTTGGCAATGTTCCTCCCCTTGGAGGTGTGCAGCTACAAAGCAGTGACTGCAGAACTTCTGCTGTAGTTTCACTTGCAATTTATTCTAGTAAGACATGTCAGTATTTGTTCATACATGTATTACTACTGCTGTGATTAAAAATTTGACCTAGATCTTCTTTCTTTGTATTCTCTGTACGGTGATATGGTCAATATTTGTTTTGCACCAATTGATTTGCTGCATAGTATTGTTACTTATCCTTTTACATGTGTATTCAGTATTCAGATCACTAAACTTCACGCTGTAAAAAAATGCAGTTAGGCTTTCCTGGAAGTAAAGGTGCTACATTCTGTGAAGATGATGGTCTTTATGATGACTTCAATATGGATGAGATGGATTTGAATCTTGAAAACTATGATGAGCTCTTTGGTGTTGGCGCCAACAATCCTGAGGAAGCCTTTGAGGGTGGTGGGATTGGTAGTTTGTTTGGGACAAAGGACATGTCTGGTGCTGAATCCTACTGCCAGGGTGCTGCTGCGGCTGAGGTAATGCTCTTTTATTTCCGCCTCTGTATTTATGGAACTTCTCCGCATGACAGATCTCTCTCCTTGTTCCCTGTTGTTCTGTGATGGTTGTCTAAAAGGCAGATCTAAGCATAGTGGTGGTAATGAGTTTAGGGGTTAGCTGGTTAGGTTATAATGGGTGAGAGGGCTTTTGGGAGCAATGACACTATCTTGGGTTAAAGTCTTGATTCTTTCCTTCTTCAGGTGTCATCAGTTGGACGTGTGAATGCAATGCAGCAGCCTACATGCAGCAATGCAGCATCTGCTGATTCCATTATGAGCACTAAAACTGAACCAGTTATCTGTGTCACGCCAAGGCAAGGTCATTCAAATCTCTCGTTCTCCGGCATTACTGGGGAAAGTAGTGCCGCTGCTGATTATCAAGATTGTGGAGCTTCTCCAATGCTGCTCATGGGAGAGTCTCCATGGGGTCCCCCTGGTGCTGAAGGTTCCCCATCAGCGAACCGAACTAATGCTGTGATGCGGTACAAGGAAAAGAAGAAGACACGCAAGTAAGTTTTCATGCTGACGTAAAAATATGGCCAACATGTTAGCTCTTTCTGTTGACGTGTACACAGGTTATTGCAATCATTCAGACAAGTTCTTCATTACTGACCGTGTGCTTGTTAATGCTGCAGGTTTGAAAAGAGAGTAAGGTATGCATCCCGCAAAGAAAGAGCTGATGTACGGAAGCGTGTGAAGGGCCGATTCGTGAAAGCCGGTGAAGCATATGATTATGATCCTTTGACGGAAACCAGAAGCTACTGAGAGTACAATTTTCTTAAAACCAAATTCCCCTTCCAGAGAAGGAAAGATCAGATTGTTCTGATGTGGAGAAATTCAATCCTTGTCTTTTCACTAGACACTGGCTGAATATCTCTACTTTTCCTTGCAGTGACGATATGTAACTGACTCTGAGGGTTTGAAGAGGAAGGGAGAAAGTAATGTCATAGGACGAGGAAATGGATCGCGGGATTTATAGTACTCAGGTCGATGAAATTGAGTCCCCCTCCATTCCCAAAGCCATTGGTGGACTGACAAAATTCCTGGAACAATGGAGAGAGTACTTCATTTGCAGTGTATAAAAAATGATGATGAATGTTGGTGTAGACGTCTGACGATGTTTTTGTATTCTTGGATTCGCGGGCAGTCGCTTTATGAGAAAGAGCGGCTGATCTCACAGGCTAGAGAAATGATCTCTCTGACTTAAGTCCGCAGCTTAAGTTATAATTTTGATGGTATGTATAGCAAGATGAAGATTCTATGTATCTTTATTATTCAGAGAGCTGTGGTGACTGGTGACGATATCGATAGCTGCCCCTCAGTGTTCCGGAGGGGGTTGGTTAAAACTGTCTTTCTACAGGTTTGTACATATATAGCCTCTAGGTAGAATCGACTTCAACTATGTATTCCCTCTGAAGAGCTTTCTCTGTAACGATGAGATGATATGGTTGTTTCTGAAGCGTTTTGTGCTAGTGAATTACTGTTTCTGTTGATTATGGAGCCATTGCTTTCGAGATAATGTTTCCAAGATACCGGACTGATCTTCTGTTTGATCAAGTCTGTCAGATGCTGCAAACTATGGTATACCTTTAAGCTAAGAACTGGTTGATTAGGCTCCATACAGTTGGCGCTTTTCCCGAATTGGACTCATAGCAACTCCCATGTTAAAAGTAAGACGTCGAATTAGACCGCAAAATTTTCTTTTGCAGCTGATTGCACATCGAGAGCAGCTCCTTTCGTAGGCTTACTTGCTAAATGATATAGAGAAGTGGAGAACCGATACAAAGACAGGAAGCCAACGTTGATGCTCTTTCGTAGGCTGTACTCGTACCTACCAGCTACATGGAACTGATATGATGTAGGAGAACCTATACGAAGGCAGGAAGCTACCGCGGATCCTCTTTCGTAGGCTGTACTAGTACTCACCGGCTACAAAGAACTGAAGGGCGCAGCCTTAAAGAACAGAAGGCACACCTTTTGTCTAGAGCTGCTAAGTTAACCAATTATATTGCAAAGAACATGACCATATCATTCCAACACCATGTGTCTAGCATTCTTGGAGACAAAATTGTGGGGGATAAGCATAAGAAAGCATTGATCTTGTTTGAAAGTATTGAATCAATCTTCATCTGAACTACTGTCGTCAGACATTCCTCCAATGTCATCTTCTACACCAGAATCCTGCATGCATAAGGAAAAGATGATAAACAGGAGCACCTAAGTAAAAATGTTTATGTTTATGCTTGTGGGGCAGTTAACATACCAGCTTCTTATCCCAGTCTTTCATCTTGGGATTCGTTAACATATAGTTGTCACGCAAGGGAGCCCACGATGGGGTTCCTCCTTCTGCATCTCCTTCTGATGTATTTACCTACATGATTAACCGCAATGGAGTGTGAAAGAACACAAGTTGCAGATTTGAGGCCGAAGTGGTAAATACAACGTGGAAACAAGCGAGACAGCTTCAGACTATGAATATTTCTACCGTGATATGCATTTAGTAAAAGCAACCAACCTTAACAGTCGAACTGGCTGATGGAGCCCTGCGTAACTCGCCATAGAAAGCATCTTTCTTTCTCTTGTTTATAACTAGCAAGATTCAGAACAGCAAAATGCAGGTTTTCAGAACAGATAAAGAAGTATATATCATCGGAACTCGGAAGCATAAACAAATGAGCAGCGCAGGGGCAACAAGACAATGAAATGAAATAAGTATCCCAGTAAATGAGACAACTTATGCAAAGATTTCAATTCTAGATTTCAATTGTGGTGATTTAGTTAGTGATTATACCTTTAGCGTCTTTAGATCTCAAGGGATTCAATCCCTTCTGTGCAACTTGTGCCTTGTTAACCTGCAACACCAAACAAATACATATATCAATCCATTGTTCAGCCAGCAAGGAAAATGCCATAATTTAAATTCTCTATCAAGCCAACCTACCGCGTTGAACAACTTCACCACTGGCATCAACAAAGCGAGTCATGCACAGAGAAAGGTTAACAGATTTAGTACTTCAGGTGAAAGATCAGATGTAAGAGCACACAATGCTGGAAAAATCTAGGCCTGAAACTAGAATAACTACCTCCTTTTGTAGCCACACTAATCAGAAACCTTTCATGTGTATCCAAGAAATTAGCAGGCTTCACATGCCCCTTCTCAGCAACCTAGGCAGAAATGTACCAGAAACAACATTAACCAAGCAATTCATAGAATGAGAACCGAAATGGAATTCGAACATCAACTTACCAATTTCTTCTCCTTCTTGGCATCTCCTTTAGCCTTCCTTTCTACTTCTTCCTCAGCAAGCTTCTCTGCCACTAGCTTCTTGTGTCCTGATAACACAGGTCCCTGCCACAAGAAACCCACCAAAATTTCACTCCACAAACTATGAAACAAAAAACTTATCAAACAGCTAGACAAGATCAAAGCTTCACCAGTGGATCTTCAGAAGCACCCTTCTTGATTACACTCTTGAAAGCATTCCTGAAAGCTCTGGATCCTTCACCAAGCTTCGTGATTCCAGGCAGAGTACCTTCTCCTTCTTCGTCCGAGTCTTCTTCATTCCCAAGCTCCTCTGCTTCTTCACCACCTACGTCCTCTGCAATGACATACTCGGGCAACAGATTATCATCTTCAACTCCCTTTGCTAATCCCTCTTCTGTATCTTCATCGTCGGAATTGTAGTCGCGAGCCTTCTTGCGAAGGAATTTCTTCACCCTCGGGTCGATTTTCACTCGCTCTCCCATTCCGGGGAACTGTTTCTGCTTCTTCCTCGCTTTGTTGCTGCCCTTTTTGTGCCCTGATTTCCGCTTGTTCATTCGGTTCCCGAAGTCTCGAACCTGTGTTTCCTCCACCATTTTTTTCCCCCAAGCTGACCCGGGAAGATTTGAGAAGGCGAACGGAGACTTGAAACTGTGAATGAAGCAGCGGCTGAAATACTCGGTCGTCGATGGTGGAGGAGACGGCGGGGAAGCAACTCTGTGTATTTGGGATTGTGGGAACTATCTCGCCAATGAGAAACATAACGTTAGGGTTTAAGCCTTAAAGGGAACGAATATCTTCCCCAATCCTACCTGAAGTTTTGGGGTATGCTGATTACGGTACCCGGTTATTTAATCACTCTAGCCGGTAAAGATAATATTATCATACTTTTGGTTAGGGCTGTTAATGAGTCGAGCCAAACCGAGATTTGCCTTGTTCAGTTTTCGTTCATTTATAAACGAGTCGAACTCAAACTCGGCTCGTTTATGAACGAGTTGAGTTGAACCGAACACGAGCCAACTTATTTATTAAATATTTGCTCATCTTTAAGATTAAAATTTCGGCTCGAGCTCAACTCTAAGATAATTTATGAATTAAATACTCTAATATTTATATGTCATATATGATACATGTGATTGACTGATCTCCATGTCATATACTAGACATATTTGCTCACATACTTAAATTATTAAACATCACAAGAGGTGTGATATACAATTTAATAAATATATGAATCGTTAACAAACCAACTCATAAGATATAGATCAATTTTCTCATAAGTCGTGATCAAGTTGGCTCGCTAGTTACAATGTTGAGATATCTCATGAGCTCAAAATTAGATAGTTCACGAGTCGAACTCAACAAGCCACCTAATCAAGTTAGTTCACGATCCTCACGAGCCGAACAAAGTTAAGCTCAAGCTCGGCTCGTTAATAACTGAATCGAGCTTTTATTGGATCGAACGAGTTTTTATTGAGTTCGAGACCGAACCGTCTGCGAATAGTTTGGTTCATTAACAACCCTACTTCTGGTCAAACTTCTTGGTTCATTATCCAGATTTTCACTTTTTAATGCTACTTCTCTAGTTCTTTTTTATTACATCGCAAGAGATAAAATTTTGTAAAAAGTCATCGAGACTCTATCCATCGTGAAATTGTTGGTTATGTTGATAATATCTCACAAGCTATTATCAAAGAATAGCTTGTAATTCTTCAACATAATTCGTCCTACATAGTGGATTGTGAGTTAGCTCCGAAACATACAATAAGTCTCGTATGAGAGTTTTGTTACCTTCTCATGTGTGTAAAACAACTATGCATTTTCCTGCCACTCCTACTTTCTTTCCATCTCCCAATATGACTTGAGAGTGATAGTTGTTGTTGATGTCAATGAAGGACACCAAATCTCCAGTCATGTGTACTACAACCACTATCCACCATCTAGGGAAGCTGTGCGTTTTGCTCACCCTTTAAAGCATAATAAAGCAACCTCATTTTTTGTGTTGCTTGACTCGTCTTCTTCTTGCTTGTTTTGGAACCAACAATCTCTATGGGAGTGATTTTGAATTCTACACTTGGTGCACTTGAATATGCTGTCTATTGTCGTATGACCCACCTTTTTGTAAAATATACAACTCGAGCTGGTGTTGCCAATTTTTGTTGTTGTTGTTGATTACGTATGTTGTTTTCTCTATAATTGAATCTTCCTCTTCCACTTCCTTGTGAGTTTCCCCCTCTTTGTGCTTGCTCTAGTTTGGCAGATTACTTTTCGTTGTGTTGGCTTTTGATTGGAAAACTTACTCTAATAGTTATTTAGTGAAGTGGCTCATTCTTTGCTCGTGAGGTACAAGTGATCCCATAAACTCACTCATTAGTAGCATTGCCAAATCCTTGGCTATTTCTATGACAATGACAATATGTTCGAACTTTGATGGTATGATGCTGAGAATTATCTCCACGATTTTCTTTCTTCCATAATGTCACCAATGACTTTGATATGTTTGACTGTCTTTGCCATACGTGAATGGAAGTCCTTAATAGTGTTTTTTCCTTCATCATAAAGTCGTTGAAATGATGCCATAAATGTTAATGTTTAGTGGAAATCGCCTTCTCAGAACCTTGAAACTGTCCACAAGACGTGGCAAGCTTTTTAGGCCTTTTTAATCAATAAATTATTGTAAACTTGATTTGCTCACTATGTGCTTAATTATTCTCAAGGAACTGACATTCTCCTTGTACTCCTTTATATGATTGCCTGCTCGTTTCTTGGAATCATCCCTTTTTGTGGATCTTCGTTGCCTTCTTGGATGACATCCCATAGATCTTGAGAAATGTAATTATCTCCATTTGGGCAATCCAATACCCTTTGATTTAAAGAGGTGAAAAACATGGTATTTGCTCAAACTATTGCCATGATTTTTTTGTTTCTGTGATATTTTTTAGGCAAGAAAAGGGGTTTTGAAAGGATAGAAGGACATTTGCTCTAAAATAAAATTTGTTGGTATTAGCCGAAGTGTAGTGGGAATTTGGATTAATCGCAAAGAAAATGTTTGGTGTGTCACTCACGTTTAGAATACACTCAAAACAAACAATGCCTTATAATGTTGGCTATTGTTTAATCACTCAAAACATAAATACAACACACAATACCGAGTATAACCTCTTTAAATTAATAATCAATAATTAATGACCTAGTATAACTTAATAATTTTTCCGGTCTCTACTTGGACCAGTGTAAAAATGAGCAAATTTAATAAGATAATAATTTTTTAGAACCAACCTATATAAATACATGTATTTTTAACTCTATAAATTAATAATGGTAAAATTACAATTCATCTATAAATTTATAATATAACTAGGATAATCTAAAAAATATGAATATATAGTTCTTTGTTTATTCTTGAAGTTCAAGTCTAATAGAAGTTCATCTTGAACTTTCCTCACTGCACTCAAAGTCTCTGATGTTGTCTTCTCTAATTGCATCAAGTATTTTTGAAGAGTCGATGCAACTTTAAGTGCTTCTTTTCGCGTGACCGGTTCTAAAGGTGTTGAATAGTCATCTCCTTCATCCTCTATTAAATTTTAGTACAATGAATACGTAGAATGCGAAAAGTAATCGATTAATATACACCATAAGAAAAACCTCTTTAAATTAATAATTAATGATTTATCGATTTATTACCCTATAGTAATAATTAATAATTTTCATGGTACCAACTATATTAATTTATAGAGGTTATACTGTATACACTTTTGTCTTCTTTGTTTATGCATACACTCTCTGTCTTTCAGATACATATATATATCGTTGGAAAGGAAAACATACCAATGATAAATTTGACCCTTTACAGTTAATGAGAACGGAGTTAAGGCGTCCAACAATCTTGCCAATTGCTTTATTCATTTTGGCTTTTTTATGAGACTTGATTGAGAACATGGATAAGAGTTCTCAACTAAGCCATGCCCCATCCATTATTTAAATTCATTATTTTTGTCCAGTACGAAACATTGTGCGATGCATTATTGATAATGTTTCTTTCCCATAATCAATTGAAAACTACCTTACAACAAAGCTCACTATCAATGGAAATGAAGTTGGTAACCTTGCACAGACTCATTGATTTTGGAAAAATTGACTCCTCCTCAATGTTCTCTTTGCTTCATTTTATGAATATGTTCTTCCTTTTATTAGTGCGTCTTCAACGTCGGTCGAAGGCTGGGCCTATCTTCTTTGTATGTATGCAATCATTTTTCTGTTAGGGTTATGACCCTTTGCAATTGTTTTTTGGATGAAAAGAAAGGTGCTCATGATGTTACAACTTTTGTTTAATCTCTTTGGTCCATTGCATCAGTGATGGTGATGATTTTCGTTAGTTTTCTGCTAGCATTTGTGCGTGTGAAAATCGAGAGGATCTCTTTGATCATCTCTTATCCTTGGAGGCTGACTTGAAAGTGAGTCATCGTGATTCGTGAGCAACCTCTCACTCTGTTTGATACCCAACGCGGTCGTGGTGTCTTTTGTGGCCACCATAATGGTTCCTTCGATCGTGGCTCTGGCCGGCCTTCTAACTCCAACAAAAGCTTCTTTTCTCTAGTCCATGATCATTTTCTTCTTTTGACTCTTGGGATTCCTCACTTGTTGAATGTGATGATCAGCATCACCTCTGTTGTGTCTTCTACTAGTAATGTGATAATTATCGTCATACTTCCCTGATGAACCGAAACTCTCGATCCGGGAATTTGCTTGTAACTCACAAGCGGGAGAACGACGTAGAGTGTCGAAAGACTATTTTTAGAATTATTATTATTCGATAAAACGGACTAATGCCAAACTTACATTTATATAGTATGCAAACCCTACAAGCTTCCTACTCTAGCCGACCCAACTCCCCTCTCCCTATCCTAGCCGAACTCGGCAGCAGTAACTACCCGCCACCCTTATTCCCCAAGCCCATACCCATAATACGTAAACTAACAATCATTAAAACCCAAGCCCACCTACTACCATACGTCCTACACGCATCATTCCACCCCCCCTTAATTTCAACATTTTCCCCAAGGTTGATGCTCCAACTCCTCTTCTTCGAACAAGCACATAACCTTTGCTCCGTTGCACTTGTGCCCAATGGTGAAGCGCTCGTCACAGTTGAAATAGAGTCCCTGCGCTTGTCGCAATTGCTGCTCTTCCCTAGCTCAACCGCTTCCTCCAGTCGGTCCACGAGAAGGTCCCCCACTCGTCAATGCCCTCGAGCTTGCAGTTCTCGGTCTGTTTCTGCCGCCACCATAGCTCGACGCACCCGCGCCTACTGATGGCGCCCCAGTCCGACTCGCCGGTTTAGCCCGTTGTAGCTGGTCATTCTTCATCCTAGCTAGGCTGATGGCATCGCGCAAAGTGTGTGGCCGAAATATCCTGATATCGTCAGCAATTTCCGACATCAACCCGCCTAGATATGTGCCCCACCAGTGCCTGTTGTGTCCACCCTACGCAGCGGTTGGCCAATTTTTCAAACTCACTTTGATAATCTCGCAACGACCTCGTCTGACGGATGCGCGATAAGGCCTCATCGCAACTCTCGCCTTCCGTGGGCCCAAATCGAGCCCATAATTCCTGCGTGAACAACTCCCACGTAATTGGTTCGCCCGTATCTTTATACGTTCGCTTTAGCCACTGCTACCATTGATTGACTTCGCCTTCCAGGTGAAACGCAGCCAATGACACTCTCTGGTCAACAGGAACCTCCTGATATTCAAAAAACTGCTCCACCCGTGG